CGCGTGCGCGTGCGTGTGGGTGTGCGTGTGGCGGCGTGGGGGTGTGTGTGTGTGTGTGCGTGTGCGTCTGTGTGTGTGTGTCTGCGTGTGTCTGTGTGTGTGTGTGCGTGTGCGTGTGTGTGTGTGTGTGTGTGTGTGCAGGTGTGTGTGTGTGTGCAGGTGTGTGTGTGGGTGTGCGTGTGTGTGTGTGGTGTGTGTGTGTGTGGGTGAGTGTGTGTGTGTGTGTGCGTGCGTGCGTGCGTGCGTGTGTGCGTGTGTGCGTGTGTGCGAGCGTGCGTGTGTGCGTGTGTGCGCGTGTGCGTGAGTGCGTGCGTGCGTGCGCGTGCGTGTGCGTGTGCGTGTGCGTGTGCGTGGGCGTGCGCGTGGGCGTGCGCGTGCCCGTGCGCATGCGCGTGCGTGGGTGGGTGTGTGTGTATGTGGGTGTGCGTGTGCGTGTGCGTGTGCGGTGTGCGTGTGCGGTGTGAGTGTGCGGTGTGCGTGCGCGGTGTGCGTGCGCGCGCGTGCATGCGTGCGCTTGCGTGCGCGCGGGTGCGAGCGCGCGCGGGTGCGCGTGCGCGTGCGTGTGCGTGTGCGTGTGCGTGTGCGTGTGCGTCTGCGTGTGGGTGTGTGTGTGTGTGCGCTTGGTGTGTGTTTGTGTGCGTTGCGTGACGGTGTGCTCCGTGCATATGTGCATTGTGTTTGTGTGTGTGTGTGTGTTTTATGTGTTTGTGTGTGTGTTTGTGTGTTTGCCTGATTGTGTGGTTATGTGTTTCTGCTTCTGTGTGCTTGTGTGTGTGTGTGTTTCTGAGTTTGTGTTTTTGTGGCTTTGTGGTTTTGTGGTTGTGTGTTGTTTTGTGTCATTTGTGTGTGCGTGGTGTTGTGTTTTTGTTGTGTCTTTGTGTGTTTGTGTTGTTGTCTTGTGCTGTTGTGTGTTGTTGCGTTTCTGGGTTGTTGGGTGTTTGTGTTTTTTTGTGGTGTGTTTGTGTCGTGTATTTGTGTGCGTGTGTTTGTGTTTGTGTGCTGTTTTGATGTGTATGTGTGTTTTTTGTTGCTGTTGGTGTGCTGTTGTGGTTGCTTGTTGTTTGTTCTTGTGCTTGTGTTGTGCGCTTGTACTTGTGTTTGTGTATGTGTGTCTTTGTTTGTGTTTCGGTTTATGATTGTGGTTGGCGTGGGGGATTGGGGTTGTGTTTGCGTTTGTTGTTTGTGTGTTCGTTTTATGTGCTTGTGCTTTTTTGTGTGCGCTCCTGTTGTTTGATGTTTTTTGCTTGTCTCTGCGTTTCTGTGTGTCCCGTGTTTGTGTTTGTGTGCTCATCTGCTTGTTTTCTGAGTGCCCCTTCTGGCCGAAACGGACCAACCCTCCCCGAGACCCGCCGAGATGCTGTGGGCTCGATGGTGGAATCCTGCGCAAAGACCGCCGCCGCCAGGCCGGATCTGAAGGGCCTGGAACGCTCGAGGCCTGTTGCTGCCCAACATTGGGCGTGCCTCAAGTTTTTGAATCGGACATTTCGTTTTGGATGGTTCTAAAGGGAAACCGATAGAAAAAACCACCTGGGTCTGAAAATAGGGGAACATGGAACCGTACATGGAACCAAACACACAGGCACCCGCGGCTTTTCGAGCGGTTGAGTTCCCACAAATGGGTGCGCCTCATTTTTTGGCATCGGACTCCCGTATTGGGTGGCGTTAAAGGGAAGCCAATTAGGGTACCTAAGGGTCCCCGATTTTGAGAAACTCTTACATTATTGTGTTTGTCTGTCCTGGGTGCGTCAATCTGGTGTTTTCCTTTCCTTCCCTCAGTCAGAACCGCCGGCGCGTCAACCTGTCCCCGTGGTGTTTCTCTTTGTTCCTTCAGAATTTGCCCACCGAGGGTGCCATCGAAAAAGGAGACACCCCCACATCTCTCTTTAACAGGGATCCTTGTCAATGGTGGTTTCCCCTTATTTTGGTGGGAACAGCCATGTTTCACATGGGCAAAATGTATCTTTTAAGGAGCCCTCTTTCAAGATCACCTCACTCAAAGCACACCGCTGGCGGCAAGCTCAAGCGCCCTGCCTGTCAGCTGCACTGGCACTCTCTAGAGCTGGCTCCTGAGCCCGTTGCACTGGCGCCATGTTGAAATCATTTCTCTAGCTCTCTCTCGCTATGTGGATGTCTTTTTTGAGCTGGAGCCCATTTGTTGGTCGGCTTTAAAGGGAGTTCAAGAGGAAAAACACCATATATAAAAGGATAAATACATGTATATGATAAGTGTGTGGTTTATTTGTGTATTTAAATTGTTTATTTATTTATGTGGGGGGTGGGGGGGAAAACACACACACACACACCCATTTCGAGAACCTAGTGGAACAGGCTGGATCCACCAGGCGTTCAAGCATGGCAGAAGCATAGGTCTCCGCCTCGCTGGGAGAAGCTTCGGGTGCGTCAGCGCCTACCAGCGACCACGAAGGCGTGCAAGGCGTGCAAGCTCAAAGAAGAAAATCGTGGTGTGTGTTCGCATGCGTGCGTAAGCAGCCCAAAAAAAAAGAAGAAAGAAAGACCTGACCCATCCCCCAGCCTCTACTCGCCTCCTCTCTATAGTGGGCTCCTGGTGAGGGACAGGCTGACCCACTCACTCGGGCCCAAGGCAAGCTCTTGTTGGCCAGGCCAAAGCGCCCAGAGTGTTTCTTTGTTTTAACCCCTGTACACCCAAAGCTTCTGGGCAAGGTGAGTTAAGTCTTACTAAGCCTTACCCCAGTGACTTTTTGGCTGGTGGAAAATGAAGGAAACACCTTTACTACACCCAAAACTTCGGGCAAGGCAAGCCCCCTGCCCATGGAAACCCACTGGCAACGTCACGCCCCTTGCGCCTGGCGAAAAGGGCGGCCGGGGTCCCAAGCGCAAGGCCCGGATGGGCGAGGGCGCCTCGCCGGACTTGGCCGAACGTGTCCTACCTTAACCGTTTGGATGCGGCGAATCTGCGGATCCCCTGTAGGATGTGAAAAGAGGATCAAGACGAGTAGTATTAAAAAGGAGCAACAGGGGGAAGAGCAGGGGACCACAAAAAGCGCATCAAGCCGTTTTCTGGAGAAACAACTGCCACGAAACAAACTATGTGGACTCTCGTCCATTGTTGAATTTTAGGCAAGCAGACATGAAGATCCTGACGCGGCAACGGCTTGTGGTTGCGACAAGGCATGTGTGATGCAGCAACACATGCGCATGCCAGCTGCAAGACTCGTCGAAACCCCCTGCACTTCACATGCATCGAGGTTGTTTGCGGCCACATCGGATATGACCGAATAAGGGTACCCCCAAAATGGTGGTTTTCCTTTTGCTTCCCGAAGCAAGCTGCAAAGGGTGCCCACATGCAAATTCTCCCACCAGCCTGGGCAATTCGCTCCGAGATGGGACTGGCAAAGTCCTGCTAAAGCGAGGCAAGGCTCTGCAAGCGAAGCCGTCTTGGAAAACAGGATGACCCCGAAATGGAACCCTGGTAAATGTCCACATGGACTGAAACCTGCGGTTTCCTGGTGGTTTAGTTTCACCCAAAATTCCAGGTAACAACAGGAAACAGCACGGAGCGGATTAGCTTGGAGTTCTCTCTTTTTATTATCTCTCTCTCTCTCTCTCTACACTGCCCGTTGGACGCGCTCGTGCCCCATCAAGGCCCGATTCTAACTTAGCCGCCCCAGAACCCGCGCCTCAGCGCCCTCCCGCACTCGCTTGCCCGAAGGCGCCTGAGCAACGCACAACACTCGCAGCTTTGTTCAAGAGGCCTGTGCCGTTTGCCACTCGTCCCACCTGCGCAGCTGAACCGGCAGCAGCACCTGCCAGATGCACCCATGCCATGTCGGCCAAGGCCAAGAATGCTTTCAAATACGCTTTAGCGATGTGCAATTTGGCGGCATCTCCAGCTCACAAATTGCAGCACGCAAAGTACACTGTAGTAGCTAAAGCTCAAAAAGTCACAAGTGTTCAACACAGATGCCGTGCGCAAAGGCCAAGCTAGAATCGCAACCTTTTCAGTGCAAGCGTCCTACACTACACTTTTGCAACTTTGGCTGTTGGGCTGTTGGCTTGGCGGTTTGTTGGGCTCTTGCTTTTGCTGGGGCTGTTGTTGGGCTGCTGGGCTCTTGGGCTGGTGGGTTGCTCGAAATCATAACTTTCCAATACAAGCGGCAACTTCAGCTCCAAAAAAGTTCAGCTCAGTGCCCATGCGTCCTTTTGACTTCCATCGCCTTTCGACCCTTCATTGCCTTACTTGCCCAAAGGACCCAGGAAGAAAAGCGACCAAACGGTCAAAAGGTCTTCGCTTTGGGCCATGAACATATGTCCAGCAGTGATAGATTCCCCTCAAAACCAGGGGAGAAAAAAGTCTTCTGAAGCAAATGGAAGTTGCCTTACGAGTCGGATTTGAAGCGCCGTCCCCAGACACCAAATGGAAGGCCGGCCTTCCAAGACGTAAACGAAGTCCGTGAACCCGTGTGTGGGTTGCCAAATCAGGATGTGAAAATCCCATGAATGTCAAAGCAAGGATTTGGAGCTCCCAAAAAATTGGGGGAGGGGGGGGTGGGGAATTTCCTTTTGGTGACATGGGTACCCTTGAAACAAACACAAATCTAGATGAACAGCCTGACTTTTGCGCCTGGGCTTGTCAGCTCGCTTTGGCGCTGCTCCTAGCAAGTCCGGCTGAAAACCAGGGAGCAAGTGGTGGGGGGGGGGGGGGGGGGTAAAGCTGCCCAAGCCTAGGATAAGCCAAGGACAAGGCCTCAAATGGCCAACAGGTGCCCCCCTCCCCATAGCCCCTATTGGGCGAAAGCAGCCACGACCAAATGACAAACCGTGGCACGCAACAGTCCTGCCCACAGCGCGTGACTGGGGATGCCTCACGCATGGCAGACCATTTTTTCAACGCTGGCGACCACTGCGAGGGTTAAAGAGCGGAAGCAAACCAAACCACTGGCTAAGCTGATGAAGCAGCCGACAGATTTCCATCATGCAGGCAGGGCAGCCAAACCAATTCATTGGGTCACTGGGCCCTGCCTGTGGCAAAGGCAGCGACGCTGGACCTGCTGGCCAGCATACGTTACATACGTTACATACAGTTGATGCCAGGGAACACATGGCACAACGCCTGGATTTACAAACACTTATACCTCCTCACCAAATTTTGTTTGCCTTCTTAGCTTCCCAATCGGTCTTGAACCTTTTTGGTCGGGCATCCTGCCTGCACTGCTGGAACGGCTGTCCGTCTTGCTGTCCCGACTTTCCTGCGGAAAACTCATTTGACTCCGACGGCAAAGAGAGGGCGCACCACTCGCAACAGCTTTCCAGACCGTGAACGAATTTCTGAGCCACTAAAACTCGAACGTGTCATGTAAAATGTACTGGGGTATGAACCACACATGTTGTATCGTGGTATGAATGCAAAAGAAGCAACCGTCAGCAGCAACGCAAGTGAGACACCCAGGGCAACATGTGATGCGCGTCACAGAAACTTTAGGCACGCCAAGCAAAGAACATATGCCCCGGCCACTCTCCTCCATTGAGGCCAACCGGGTTGAAGAAGGTGCCTGCAGAATCGCAGACCGGTGCTGCACTCAACGCATGCGTACTGCAAGCCGCCTGCGTTGCTGACAGCACTTCATCCGCCGGTGCCGGTTTTGCCGGCTCTGGTTCTTCCGCAGCTTCTCGACGGAGTGCTGCGACACAAGCAGTGGTCGGTTCAGCCCGGAAAACAAAACGGAGCATCGTGCAATCGCACTGCTTGGAACGGGGGGGGGCCTGCACATCACATCACCGGGACATGATTACATCACAGTCGGGGTCAGCGAAGCATGGGGCAGCCATCTGTTGAACTCTGCAAGTTGCATCCGCCGCCTGGGCTGCGCAGCTCCTCTGGACGCGGCTGTTGCTCCTGGCGGTCTGACGTGGGCCCTTGCTTGGCCCAATAAAATTCGGGAAAAGAAACAATCAAAACTGGAAAGGAGTGCAAGTCCAGAGCATGTTTGCCAAGCCCCACAACCCTGAGAAAAGAAACAGACAAAAACTCGAAAGGTGCGCAAGCGCTGGTGCTCACAGGCCAGAGCATGTGTGCAGTTTGAGCCCCGGCCGAGCGCGCGAGCTCCTGGCACAAAGCGAGAAACTGCTGCATGATCCCGGAGATATTCGCCGACACCTTGGATATGCACCGAAGCTTGGCGACGCGGCCAGTGCACGAAGGCAGCAACAAGGTTCCTTAAAGGCCACATCCAAAAACTACCTGCTTCACCGTGGAACCCTAAATCAGCTGGCATTCGCGCTTTTAACCGGTCCAAATTTCATCCTTTCAGGACCTTGCTGAACCCGTGCCAACCTTTTGTTCTTTCATTATTTTTTTCGGATGGGCTTGGGGAACCAAAGCAAACCCCCCCAAAAAAAAAGGTTTCCGGACACGGACACGCCTCTGCCAAGGCGCAGAGCACGACCTTAGGGACTGCTCCCGGATGCATGGCAGCCACAGCGGCCCAGCCGAATCCCCCAAAGCCTGCAAGTCGAAAAGATGGAGTCATCATCAAACCCCCGGCATTAAAATCCTCAGGACCCAGAACCATGTAAAGGATTTCAAAGGCGGATATCCGCTCCCGCCTATGGCTGGGATTGCCCTTACTACCCTGCAGTTATCCGAGTTGCTATTGTCGCTCCTGATGCTTGTGGGGAGATCGAGTGACTTCCCCATGTTTGCGCCAAATGGACTATAGACTCCAATTGAAATTCGGACACCTCGAACGCCTTAGGAACAGCTATTGTTTCTGGCAAACTGGCGAAGGGTACCTAGCTGGCATGGTACCAATAGTACAAAAACAAAACACACACACAAAAAAAAAAAAAACGAGAGCCACATGCCCCTGGCTAGGCATCGCCTGGTCAATCCACCGCTCATAGCCAGGCGCCGACTGGGCTTGCTGTGAGACCTGCCGCGGGGAACGGAAAAAAACAACGCGGCATGACTTGGAGAACATCACACGACCTTCGGGAAAACTTCACCGCCAAACAAGGGCTACAAAGGAACATGGACGTCACCAAAAGACATATTGCCCATGGGGACAGGTCAAAAGGTCCCTTAAATAGGATGACCATTGGGGAAAACCACCAGAAGAATGACTTCCCATGGGCCAAGTGATCCCTGGTCAAAACTGGGGACCGAAGGGGATCGTTCTAGGGGTTGATTCCCCATTCTTTTCAACCATCGTTCTTTTCAAAAACCAGTTGTTTCCCTGGTTTTTGATGGTTTCCTGAAAAGAAGGATCCTGGAAAGAATGGGGAAGGTATCCCTAGAATCGTGCCCACTTCCCTGCTCCCAAGTCTCAATCGCTCGCTCGCTTGGACAACGAGAGTCCTGCCTCCCGATCCGCCACCCTCAGATGACCGGTCTGTCACTCCATCGGTGAAGAGAAAAAACTGATGGACCAGTGCCTAAACTGGGCCGTCCGTGGGCAGATCCGCTGATCAGGGACTAACCTTTGGTGGGCCGAACTCGGAAATCCAACCACCTCCTACACGAAAAAAAAAGATCTCAAAACCTAAGTTGAAGTTGAACCACACCAAAATGAAAAGATCTCATGACTCAAAACTCTAAGTTGAACCGGATGGCCGGGCACCAAGTCAACCACCTTCGACGATGGAAGCAATGCCGAGGCGCTGCGCGGTGACCTCGCAGACCCCTTCCAGCAGGCCCAGCAGAGGCGCCAGCGCCTCGTGAGAGTTGCAGGGGCGGCTGGGTGAATTGGCTGCACGCCTCAACAGCTCCGAGAAAGATAAAAACTGGCGCGACTTTTTGGAGTCCAGAGCCGCTATGTGGATATACATATAGATATATATGTATGTATGTATTGAATATATATATATATTTATATATGTATATATATAAATATGTATTTGTGTGTGTGTGTGTGTTGGTTGCTGCCCCTCACTGCGGCCCTTCCGTTTTACCTCGAGCCTTGGTCCTAATCCGCCGAGGGTAGGGGCACACCGGTCGGCTCCCTGAGGTGCCGGCCATGGCCCAACGTCCAGCTCGAAACGCGGCGGCGGTTTCGAGCTCGCAGCGCGGCGGATTTGGGGCGCGGAGTGCGAGGCATCCTTCCGTTTGCTGTTGACTTCCCTTGTTGACCTCCCCAACCCAACCAAGTTAAGTTGGGGCTTCCGACTCCGAAAGATGAAGCACACCCGTCATAGGCATAGGCGTCCTTTTAGGGGAAATAGATGGATATCCCTGGTAGATGACTAAACCACCAGGTCAACCAGGAATCGCCCTGCATTTCTCGAGCAAAGCCAAAAAGGACACCTATGATCTGCCCAGCAGTGAAATCGATTCCCTTCAAAATACAGCAGGGAAAAAGAACATGTTCTTAAGCAAGTGGCAGTATTCGAAAAAGGTCCGCAAGTGTCTCACTGCCGGAATGGATGGCCAGGATGGCCCCTTTTGGGCCCAAAAAATCCCCCCCAACTGCGTTTTTCCCTCCAGCTGCCCTGAAAGTATTCAGTCGGGAAACTCTAGAAAGTGAGTACAGGGCAAACGTTGAAAAGATCAGACTCAATTGGCAAGTTTGGCGGCCAAGGACCCAAACAAAACGGAGGAGAAGGAGAAGGAGAAGGAGGAGGCGGAGGAGGACCCATGGATGGCAAGCACCTCGTCCCGCGGTACCCAAGTCCCTAGTGTTGCTGCGGCCTGCCCTATGCGACCCGGATCAGAGAATCCCGGCGAGGCTCCTGACTCCGCTATTTTCCGAAGCCTTCACACCGAAATGCCGAAAGCTCCGAGGCAGGATCAACTGGCGGACGTTGGCTCACCGGCACCGCTCAAGTAAAGCAATCGTCCACCAGTCATTCCTGGGCATGCTGGCCTCTTTAGCCACACGCCCCGAAATACCGCCTACAGTCCTACTTCTGGCCACCGGCCGATTTCTCTTGCCCCAGCTGAGTTGACTAGTGGTACGCCCCGCTTTCTTTAAGAAAGCGGCTGTATCAATCGCCTGCAGCCTGAGACACAACATCCACTCGATCAGATAGCCCTGGACACGCATGGAATCAAGGCTGCCGGATGGTGCACATCCATTCTGGACACGGCACCGGCGCGGAAGACGCCAACTCGGGAAAAAAAGGTGTGACGCTCATGCCGACTTCTCCGGCTGAAGAAGCACACGCTCCGTGGCCTCCGTGGCCGTCTTGTCCTGTGCACCAGGCAAGGCCACCAAAAATGACACACAAATTTATATTTACAGAGCTGGAGAATTGCCAGCAAGGGTACTTCCATGCAATTGACTTGCAGCTAGCGCCATGCGTCAATCACCCAATCGATTGATGCTGGTTTCTGCTTTCTTTCCATGGGCGCGTATGCGCCCCTCCCATTCTTCCCGCCCCTTGTGGTGCCTCCAGGGCTAGAGCCTCCAGCACCTGTCGTGGCCGCCACGTTGAACCTTGGTGAGTCGGGGTGTCAGCCACCAGTCACCAAATTATCAGCCCTAAATCCTCCCAGCCATGCGAGCTATCGTCTAGAAAACGGTTTGGATGCGCTTTTTGTCGTTCTGCCCTGGCCTTCCTTCTCCTTTCTCTCCTTCTTAATCTTTTAGTACTCTTTTCATATCAAGGGTAGATCCACAAACGCCGCTTCAAAAGCTTTACTAGAAATTTGGATTCCGAATGCAACAACCCCAACCCACTGCCAAGCGGCCCTCCGCCCACGGGAAAGGCCCCCTGGGCGGTGGCCGGTTCTTGTCGCTTGGCGTCTGCAGGAGCCAGGCGGTTTCTTCCACCTCAAGCCAGGCACTGGTCAAACCGTCTACTGCTTGATTTGATGGGGGAATGCTGATCACCTCACTTCCTGAGAGGATTGGCCAAAACAAGTCCTGAACTGTTTATTTACCACTAAAACGGTCGTGCCCGAAAGTGTGAAGTCCAGGAACCCAGGGAATCCTGATCACAATGCCAAACCTCAAGGTGACCTTGCCCCACCAAGCATTCCATCCTTTTATATCCTTTTCATTTGCGCAAGACCTGGAAGCTGAAGGCCTACAAAAAACTTCGTGGGACAGGATGGCACCCTTACCCTGTCGCTAGCCAGCGGGTAGACGGTCAGGAGGCAGCCACTCAGCAACTCAGTAGGCCAATGGCTAGGCTATGGACACACTAGACGAGCTCGATTACCCGACAAGTTGAAAGACATGCCTGGGCTGCTCGTTTTCAGATCCCCCGCTCAAAGTGACGAACTTTCGGTGGGTCAAATTCGGACGTCCAACCACTAGACACCAGCAAGATCTAAACATTTAAGGAACCGGATGGCTCGGAGCCGCCGAAATTCCGTGCACTCCCTCCACTAGGCCATGGCCACCCTGAGCTCAACTGCCCCTGGCAAAAGCTCTTTGGGCAAGCCGCTTTGGTATTGAAGGACTTGCGCAAGAGACTTCCAGCGATATTGTACATACCTGCGTCGGACAGGTGCAAATCGAGCGACACTTGGCTGCTAACACTCGCAACCTGTTTCTTCTGTTCTGACAGCTCCACTGACAAGTTTGGAGACTCCAAGCGACCTCACCAAAAATGGATGGACCAAGTCCGCGATCCATGTGTCAAAGAGCAATTATAGGGAGACAACGCCCAAATGGCTTGGGTATCCCTTTGGTTTCATTTGAAGCCGTCCAAAACTTGGGTGCTGCAGATCCCCCAGCAAAAACAAAAGTTAAACTGTTTGCTGGTTAAAAAGAAACATGAGGGGAATCCAAAAGTTAGAGTCTAAAGATCCAACCCAATAGCAGTAGAGAAAAAGGCTGCTCCTAAACGAAAAGGACGGACCCAAATCGTCTCTGCCCACATGGATGTTGCGAGAAGACGCCACTCGCCTGGGTCTGGGCCGTGCTGCCCCTTGGGGGCCGCGACCCCCCTGGTGGCGGTGGCTTTGAAGGAGTAGCAGCCTGGCACCCCAGTCGGCGCAAAGCGAGGAGAAACGCGACGATCTTGGAGGCGGAAAAATGCCCACTCATTTTTTCGCCTGGAACAGCTACGAGACTTTCGGGGTGGTTCATCACGTCTTCCGAAAGATCCCCCGTCCTAAAGATATGTGTCCAAAATTTGTAAGTCCCCAATGCTGAAGTTGATACTACGCCAATACCAAAATAGCGATTCTCCCGCTGACCCCCCCTGTAAAAACAGCAAACCCCATAGAAAACCAATGCCAAATCAACACTAAGCCAATACCAAACCAGTATCAAGCCAATACTCAGCCTTTTCCTGATTCGTTGGCCCGCCGAACAGACCCAGAGAAAATGGACCAAGGGACCAAGAGACCGGATGAGTCACGCGCTGGCAACCCTAAAGCTGTTGCCTTGCCGCTTTGGAAAGCCAAAGCGACCCGCCGCTTTGAAGCCAGGAAATCCTACAGGAAGCTTGGCACACGACATGCCCAAAAGCAAAGAATTTCCCGTAGATCTTCCAGTAGGTTTCCTGGAACATGGATTCAGCTTCCCGCAACCCGACGTTTTTGCCCGCGTCTTCCCGCCTTTCCCCTCCTCGCTCGTGAGCTCATAGGCGCCCGGCGGCGGCACATCCGTCGCGTTGTTCTCGAAGCGCTGGCCGGAGCTGTTGAAGCTCACGTGGTCCCTCTTCGCAATCCTGACCGACCAACTGTCGAACCTCGATGGCTTTCCTGGAGAAAAGAAACAACCTATCCCCTGCCCCGGTGGCGGACCTTTCCCGTGGCCGTTTTGGTTGCTTGGCTGCTGAAGGCTGCCTGTTTGCCCGGTTGCTTGGTTGCTTACCAAAAGTTCGGCTCTCTCAGCTCTCTCAGCCGTCACTCGCCGGCTCGCCCCGCTTTCCGCCTCCATCCAGCACGGAAGTCCGGCTTGCCGACGACGTCGTAGCTGCCAGGGCCCGGGAGCTCCTGGCGGATTTCTCGATCTTGGCGCGGCGCGGGCGCAGCGGGACGGGCTCGGTTCGGTGAGCACGAAGCGCGCCCAAATTGCTGCTCGACAATCGGAGAAGACGATGAATTTGGACACTGGACATGCTGGCTGGCTGTTTGGAGGCAGTTTTGTGACAGTTGAGGGTCGGGGGTTTTGTGGAGATTGTTGAACCCCATGTCACGGCCCATGTCCCTCACATGTGCCACACACTACCGCAACCCAAGCCGTGACCAGTAAAGGGCGGAGCCATGTCAAAGCGTGTGTTAGACCGTTAGACCCCTAAAAAAATAGATTTCGGCCCTCCTGTTGGTTCCCCTTTAAGCCCCAGCAGGATCAAGAGTGGCTCCTTTGGGATTCCTTTCTGTGGATGCGTCTCACGGGAACCTCGTGTGGTTTTCCTTTTGGTTGCAACCCGAGCCAGAAAGTCGTTCCTCGACGGACGACGGAAGGGCGCCCAGCCTCAAAAGCCTGCGGTTGTCAAAGACAGGGTGCCACCAAAATGGCTTGCCCTGGTCAATCTGAATTCATGGACGCAAATTCCTGGGCTCCAATTCCTGGCGCCTCATTTTGACCCATACCCGCAGGCTAGAAGCTATGCTGAAGCAAGGGCAGTGTTGACAGCTGGCAGCAGCCTCATCTGAATGCCTATACCCATATCCTCCTGTCCATCAACATGGAACCCACCTAAGGCTCCCTGTTAAAGGAAAATCATCTTCCAGGACCCCTCAGTCAGGTTCCACGTTGGACAGGAGTGTACCCATGGCCAATGCGACCTCGCCTCCTCACTGCGCGGCGACGCCAAGCGAGGGGCCCCAGACTTGAAGGCGCCCCCGGAGGCATCACCGGCCTCGGGCGACGCGTCCGCCGAGAGGCACTTGGACGGGGCTTCTGCGATTGCCCCGTTTTGGGTTTGTGACTGCCTGTATGTGTGTGTTGGTTGTCTCCTTTATTTGTATTGTTTGTTTTTGTTGCTGTTGTTGTTGTTTTTTTGGGGGGGGCGTGGGGGCGGACATACCCAAGTCCTGGTTGGCGAACGACGGCAGGATACATCCAACCCTCCTAGGATTCGACTCCAATCAGCTTTGATGGTGTTTTTCATGCATTCCCCTAGCTGGGTATTCGGGACCCTGAAGTAGAGGCCACAGAATCCCCCTCGCTTGGGCACAATGATCCCTCACTTCCCACTCATTGAATGGACGCTTTTCCAATACTGGCCCCCCCAGGATTTGTTTTTCTCTGTCTGGTACGTGTTGAAAGGCCGACCACAAGGTGGCTTTTTCCGCAGTTTTCTGAGAAACGCCCCTTTGGGTTCCATCGTATCTCCTTCCCTGCAGGAGGAGAAAAAAAAGAGGAAATTGCGCCATCTTCTTGCACGCTCTGCAGCGCAGAGCCCTAAGCAACAAGGCATGGACTCGGTTTGCTGCATGCCCTCACACATCATATATCCTTCCTAAAGGGGCGATCGATTCGGTACGTCAGGCAAGCAGTTAATAAGCTTGTTGAAATAATTCACAAAAGCCATGGTTAGTTTCCGTTCAGTGTTTTTTCCACCAGGCTTACTGACCACTTGCCTGACGTACCAAATCGATCGCCCCTTTTCACTAAAGTTGTGCACATCCCGCCTTGGTGACCTCCTCATGAGGAAGCACAGGACCAGGACTCACACTCTCGATACCTACGATCAGTTCGGGGTCTGAATGTTGGCTCGTGCTACATGAGCAAAAGGGCCAGAACCAAAAATAAACAGCACCGTGCTTGGTTGATCCTGTTTAAATGTTTGTTTTGTTTTGTCTCGGGCCACAAGTTTTATGTTGGCCCAGGACAAAAGGAAGGCAACCGTGCACAAGGTCGTCGAGTCCGCACCACAAATATATGATGAAAAGAGAAACAAACACCGTGTAGATAAGAACTTGCCTAAAACGATCAAAAAATAAATTTGGAACGTGAACCCTTGATTCCAGCAAAGGCAAAGTGCAAGTTGTATATTCTCAACACAGCTGACCCAAAGGAAACATAAATAACAACCACCAAACTCAACGGAGCCGGAGGAAGAAAAACAACTTCGCTGACTCGTGCCTGCCTGCCTGTGCATGTATGTATATCTCTCTCTCTCTCTGTTTCTGCCTAAGTTGCTTCAAACAGGATATGTGGCTTCAGAGGTGCTCAGACCCCCCGCCAAAAGCAACTAGCTTTCAGTGGGTGAAAAAGGAAAACCCCACCAAACCCAAGATGCAAGGTGGAACTTGGGGTGGTTCTTCACTTGGCGCGCGCCAAGTGAAAAGGTCAGCCCCAGGTTCGTCCCATGCGCCTCCTGACCCCCCGACCCGGCCGGTCCTGAGGATTGGAAGCGCTCTCCGTACCTGGAGCCGCCGAAGGCTGCGCCCTGGGCCATCTTGGCCAAGTGCCGGAGCTTCGAAGAAATGGACTGGCCTCGGCGCGCTCGGCGCGCTCGGAAGACCGGACCGGCCTAGCTTCCCTTGGGCCACTTCGTTCGGAAGACCGGAGTAGAGAAGCACTCCCCCACTCCGTTCGAGGTTGCCTGAAGCCTTGCCCTAGCTTAACCCAAGGGCCACTTGGCCATCGAGGTTGCCTTAAACCTAGCTCCTGGCCTCACTCCGGTCCAACACCTGAATGGGAGTGGATGGACTTGGTGCGGCCAAGACTCGTTCAAAGGGCAAGAAAATGTTTAATACACCCCCCCTGTCCTGGTACTAGGAGGGTGTGCGCCCTCCGAAAGTGATGAATCCCCGCCAAAACGGGACGCTGCTATTGATCAACCAAAGGGTTTATTGATTTGGGGTCAACATGAGGCCAAATGATGAAGCTCACAGAGGAAACAAACAGGCAAAGGAGGTCCCAAACTATTCAGAGAAAAGACCCATCTCTAGGGATGAAGCGCCATCTTTTCAGAGAGGCCCTCGAACACCGCAAGCAACCCAGGAACCCCCAACCATGCCGCGCTTCGGATATTCATCCGGTGGCCATGCGCCCAATCGGCCCATAAATCTAGGGGTACCTTCCCCATTCTTTCCGGGAATCCTTCTTTCTAGGGAACCTTCAGAAACCGAGGGTAAACCGGATCCGGTTTTCGCAAACAATCATGGTTGAAAAGAATGGAAAAGGAATGAACCCCTAGAACATGATTGGTTGCCTTTGGAGTGTGGCTTTAAAACAACACCGGAGTTCTCAAACCAAGCAGACCTAGAGGCACGCACGCTGGGAATCCACCCCTACAATCAACCCCTAGTAAAAATGGGGGTGGTGCTCTTCTCGGATTTCTGAGGCGGAAGGCACTTTTTGGGGGGTTGGGTTGGGGAATCAACCCCTACAACCAGGATAAAGATGAAGCCCCCGCTGAAGACGTCCAAGTGACCCATGCACTCCTCGGGGTTGTAGCTGCCCGGCGCCACGTTTCGGTTGGAGGCGGGGCTGGGGCGCTGAGGCCCGTGGCCCCAGTTGCCCAGCATCAAGCCGTCCTGGGTCCCGCGTCGGGATGTGTCGTTGGATGCGTCGGGAGGCGTGTCCGTTTGGAGGAGACGTAACTTTTTGGAGTCAAAAGGAAACCAAAAGGAACTCATGTTGACCCCATACGAATCTCTCGCTCTCTCTCTCTCGCTCTCTCTCTCTCTCTCGCGTGCCATCGGAATCCGTCCCACTGGCACGGGGCCCGTACGAATCTACAACGCCCAGTTTCTTTGTAGAGGGGGGTTTCCAACTAGGTTTAGTGGGGAATCAGACCACTGTTAGAGGGAACACCACCTGTTAAACTGGGGTTGATTTATTGGGGTCAACATTAACCATCTTGGGGGGGGCCAATGTTAAGACACCCACCTGATTCCCCAGGCGTCTCGCTAAAAGGCGATACGGCTTGCACGCCAAAACGCGGTCTCCCTCAGAGATCTCAGCTGGTGGGGGTTCTGCACCCCGAAGAACTTCCTGCGTGCAAAAAGCGCGAGGCCGGAGCTCTGACCCCCCATGCATCAGGCCGGTCCCCGAAAACAGTTGGGCTTGTCTCAAAACTCGGGAGCCTCCAATGGTCCAATTGATTGAGTCCTTTTCCACTTGGCGCTCTTTTTTTGAAACCACGCCAAGATGGTCTCACTTGAGCTGTCCGTGTTCAGATCCCCCGCTAAAAGGTTATCTTTTAGTGGGCTCAATGGACAACCCCACTAAACACTTCACTAAAAAGCAAACGGCTAAGGAACCGGATGGCTGGGAGCCACCAAGAAACAATACTCGGTTGCCTTCTGCTCCCCTGCAAAAAGTTCAACTGTTGGTGGCTTAATACGGAAAACCCATCAGTTGGCAAAAAGTTAAAGTCCTAACATCCCTTGGCAAAATGCACCAAAGAATAGCAGGACGTGTTCCGGTCTCCACGGGACGGCTTGCGCCGTTGCGGCGGCACGACCCACACGCCTGCCCATAAAATCTGGCACGCTCCGCGCACGCCGGATCTTCTCGGTCGGCAGGTCGGAAGGCTGGGTGTACTGCCCCGGCCCCGGCCGGGCGCCGCCCTGCCCAAGCAAAAGCAGTTGGGCCCGTGGTCCAAAAACGAAAGGACCCCCAACAATGGTCCTTCTCTTTCCAAACCAAAAAGGGGGGTTCTCCTTGAAACCACCCCAAAGAGAGGGGGCTCACTGCATTTAAAGGCGCAGGGTACTTAGTAAGCGGTTGGTAACCTGGTTGCCAGCCACTTAGGGGACTTATAATCATGGCAAGTGGGTTATAACCAGGCTCACTCACCTAGCCTGCGCGAAATCCCGGCGGGAGCCTAGATCCATAATCCTCTTAATCCGGTTTCTGGTTGGGAACCTTATCCGAGATGCAACTTGTGGGTCAAAACCGCATGTTGGAGCACAGAAATTCCATGCAACCCAGAATCTGTAATCCGCAAACCGCATAATCTGAACCCGTAAACCGCATCATCTGCAATCCACCGATCACCGGGGATTAGGTGTTGAACAAGCTAGCACTGACCACTTAACTAAGTTCAACGCCCAAGCCAAGGAATCCCCCACAGCCCCCTCAACCCCCTGGCACCGAATCTAAGGAACCCTCCCTAAACTGGCCCAAACCATCCCCAAGGAGCCTACCTAGCTTTCTGTTGGGGAAACAACAACAGACCCCAGAAACAGCTGGAGGTTCCTTTTGCTTTCCCCTTCACCACCACCCCAACAGGGGGGGGTGCTCTCCCCAGCTCCGCGGCTCTCGTTTCGCCTCTGGCACCCAGAAGCGATCGCTCGTGGAGCGGAAGGCGGAGGACGACCTCGCGAGGCGTGGAAGCGGCTGGATGGATGGAAGGAACGGTGGCAAAGGACAAAGGGCAAAAAGAATCCCGTAACACATGTAACAAAGGACAGCTCTGACGTGCAAGGACAGCTTCCTTGCCTGGCAAAAGAACAAAAGATCCCACAACGCTTGACGTTCAGGCAAGGAAGCCCGAAAGCGCTGATTCCATGATGTTTCTGACGTTCAAGCAAGGACGCCCGCAAGCAAGTAAGCAAGCAACCAAGCAACCAAGCAACCAAGCAACCAAGCAACCAAGCAACCAAGCAACCAAGCAACCAAGCAACCAAGCAACCAAGCAACCAAGCAAACAACCAACCAACCAAGCAAGCAAGCAAGCAAGCAAGCAAGCAAGCAAGCAACCAAGCAACCAAGCAACCAAGCAACCAAGCAAACAAGCAAGCAAGCAACCAAGCAACCAAGCAAACAAGCAAGCAGCCAAGCAACCAAGCAACCAAGCAAACAGGCAAGCAGCCAAGCAACCTACCAAGCAAACAAGCTACCAAGCAAGCAGCCAAGCAGCCAAGCAGCCAAGCCTCCAAGCAGCCAAGCCGCCAAGCAGCCAGCCAAGCAGCCAACCAAGCCACCCACCAACCCACAAACACGCCACCAACGGAACGAGACCAAATCAAACCAAACCAAACGAAGTAACCACTTAACCCCCCTTTTACCGTACTTGCCCCCCTTTCCGCGCCACCAACCCCATGTTGCCGTCAAGGCTCTGTTTGCCGTCCCCACTCTTCAGATCGTAAGTGCCAGGACCGGGCAACAGCGCCGGTGACCAGGAACTCGAGAAGAACACCGCTGGCAGCCTCAGGGGCCCAGACGCGGCGGCGAACCACTTGCATCGTTCCGATGTTTGAACGCCGCCCAACAGCTTTCTCGGTTGCTTTCTGCTCCCCTGCTGAAAGCGACTAACTTCTAGTGGTTTAATACGGAAAACCCAATAGTTGGCAAAATGTTCTCTAGCGTCCCAATTTCGTGAAAAGGGGAACTGCTGGCTCACCTGCGCCATCAAAACCGATCGGGTACCAAAATGGCGAACCCAATCCCCATGCTAAAGAGCTCGCAGGGCGGAGATCCCCGATTTGCGGTTGGGAGATCCCCGATTTGCGGTTGGGACCGCTTTTTTTCCCACCCAGAACGCCCCTGGGGCTTCCAATGGAAGACCCAGACCCTCCATTGGACACCCCGGTGTGTTGGGTCTCAAAACCTGGCTGTTTGAGGGCCAAAATGGGCCAAAGATACATCGGGGGCGGCTTTCTCCAGCCGGTGGCTCACCTCCCACGGGCCCCTCCCAAAGCCACAGGCTTTTCCCGCCTGCTCGAGGAGAAGGTGGTGGAAGTCTGCGGCGAGTCCGAGCCGAAGCCCGGAGGATCCAACGCGGGACCACCTCCGCCCGTGCCTCCGGCGAAGCGAGCCATGTGGCTGTGGTCACAACCATATTTTGAGATCCCATTTTGGGGCTTTCGGTGCACCCGTTTTGGTCTATTTTAGTTGCGGATTGTTTTGGGATCCCATTTTGGTTGGTAAGTGAATTCACCCATTGTGGAACCTATTTTAGTGGTTGGATTGGGATGTTCACTGGGTGCGATTTGGCTTTTGACCCATGGCCATGTAAAAAAAGCAGGGGCTTTGGACCAGAAAAACAGAGTTTGGCTTTCCTTTCGGCGTGTCTTTGAGCAAGAGCTTCAAACGGAAGGGAAAGAGCTGCCTAACTCCAAACGACACCTTGATGGGCTTGAAAAAAGGCTGGGCGGAGTCAACCGGGTGCGTTCGTCAATCTGAGTCACAATCAAACCCGGGTATTAAAATGGTCGACCCAGAACCATGTAAAGACTTAACAAGGCGGATATCCGCAACTATTTTTGTGCTTGGGAGTGTCCCTTACTAACCTTCATCTACCCGAATCGGTTTTGAGCACGTGGCCGAGGGCCTCCGGGCAGTCGGCGGGGCAGCGGCATCTCGGGCGCCTCGTGGTCGTACGTGCCGGGCCCGGGGTTGTCCTTCAGGTTCGTGTTCCCTGGGCCGAGACGAAGAGAAACCGGCTGGCTTCTTCCTTTCGAGTTTTGGTACTCCCCCCCAACCAATGTTTGGGGGAAGGAGCAAATGGTCGGCTTCTTCCTTTCGAGTTTTGGTACTCCCCCCCCAACCAATGTTTGGGGGAAGGAGCAAATGGTCGGCTTCTTCCTTTCGAGTTTTGGTACTCCCCCCCAACCAATGTTTGGGGGAAGGAGCAAATGGTCGGCTTCTTCCTTTAAAGTTTGGGGGAAGGAGCAAATACGGCTTCTTCCTTTCGCTCCCAACCAATGTTTGGGGGAAGGAGCAAATGGTCGGCTTCTTCCTTCGAGTTTTGGTACTCCCCCCCAACCAATGTTTGGGGGAAGGAGCAAATGGTCGGCTTCTTCCTTTCGAGTTTTGGTACTCCCCCCCAACCAATGTTTGGGGGAAGGAGCAAATGGTCGGCTTCTTCCTTTCGAGTTTTGGTACTCCCCCCCAACCAATGTTTGGGGGAAGGAGCAAATGGTCGGCTTCTTCCTTTCGAGTTTTGGTACTCCCCCCCCAACCAATGTTTGGGGGAAGGAGCAAATGGTCGGCTTCTTCCTTTCGGAGTGCTCCCCCCCAACCAATGTTTGGGGGAAGGAGCAAATGGTCGCTTCTTCCTTTCGCTCCCCAACCAGTTTGGGGAAGGAGCAAATGGTCGGCTTCTTCCTTTCGAGTTTTGGTACTCCCCCCCCACCCCCCAACCAATGTTTGGGGGAAGGAGCAAATGGTCGGCTTCTTCCTTTCGAGTTTTGGTACTCCCCCCCAACCAATGTTTGGGGGAAGGAGCAAATGGTCGGCTTCTTCCTTTCGAGTTTTGGTACTCCCCCCCCAATGTTTGGGGGAAGGAGCAAATGGTCGGCTTCTTCCTTTCGGTTTTGGTACTCCCCCAACCAATGTTTGGGGGAAGGAGCAAATGGTCGGCTTCTTCCTTTCGAGTTTTGGTACTCCCCCCCAACCAATGTTTGGGGGAAGGAGCAAATGGTCGGCTTCTTCCTTTCGAGTTTTGGTACTCCCCCCCAACCAATGTTTGGGGGAAGGAGCAAATGGTCGGCTTCTTCCTTTCGAGTTTTGGTACTCCCCCCCCAACCAATGTTTGGGGGAAGGAGCAAATGGTCGGCTTCTTCCTTTCGAGTTTTGGTACTCCCCCCCAACCAATGTTTGGGGGAAGGAGCAAATGGTCGGCTTCTTCCTTTCGAGTTTTGGTACTCCCCCCCCCAACCAATGTTTGGGGGAAGGAGCAAATGGTCGGCTTCTTCCTTTCGAGTTTTGGTACCCCCAAACCCAAAAAAAAATCGGGGTGGTTTTGGGGAAGAAGAGAACCCTTCTTCTGCTTTTGAGTTGGTCCCCCCCCCCCCCAAAAGTTTGGTGGTGTTGAAGGAAAACCCGCAAAAAATGGGTCGTCTTCCTTACTCCTGTTTTGGGGGGGGGGGGGGGGTTGAAGGAAACCAATGGGTGGCTCATCTTTTTTTAAAAAGTTCCCCTGCTTTGGCTTTTGAAACCCAAGGCCAAAAAACCAAAAGGAAAACCTCTTCTGCTTCTTTTTCTTCTCCTTCTTCTTCTTCTTCTTTCTCTCTGGTTTTTTTTGGGGTGGGGGGGGGAACGACACACCCAATGGAAGGCTTCTCAACATGTCCCGATTTTGAGGCGCACCCTCATTCCTCTGGGAGCACGTGTCGCATCTTTCAGCCTAGCTGTTGCATAAGCCCCGCTAAAGTCGCCATAGCCGAGTCGCCCCACGTAGCTTTCCGATCCGAAGGAGCCGCGAAGTGAACCTCCCGCTTGCCACGGCCGATGTTGTAGCAGTCCAGACCTCAGCTGTTGCGAACGGCCCTGTGATCCAGCCCCCCTAAACGATCAAACAAGCCCCTGTCCGCGTCACTGACATCAACCGTGATGAACGTGGGCAGGTACACCCTTACAACCAAGAAACTTCCCGGTATCTTTGCAAACGCCTTCATGTCTAGCAGAGTGTGTTTGACGTGACAGCAGGCCCAGGCTCACTCGCAAATAGCTGAGCTGTCTGCGGTACATGCCAGGATCCGGAGTGTCTCCTGGAATTGAACGTGAAAGCTTTGCGCAGGAAAACATCATCTTGGAGAGCGCTTACTATTGCTCATGGCTCTCAGGAGGAAACCCTAGTATCAGGCGTGGGGTGGGCCTTGTGCTGGCCAATGCATCTCCATGCGCTGTTCAAAGGTTCCGGCCTGGCTCCCCGGTAAAGTTCCAGTCGGATCGGTCACGCAGCGGCTTGATGGCAGGAGTGGTCCTTGGCTACATCAAGGCCTCGTGCGGCCTCCGCAGTCTGACCCTCACAACGTGCACCTGATCTAGGCGGAATAGTTTGCCAAGGCCCGAACATTGGTCAGGATTCCAACATTTCCAGTAAATACAGGACCCGGTTTTCACAATGGGAAGTTACAAGCAAACCACCCATTCTTAGAGGTCCTCTATTTTTTTCAAGTTGGGGGCTCCGTCTCGCAAAGGCCCCGCCAGGTTTTGGTGCCCTCTGCCCCGGGCCCCTGAATCCGAACCAGGCTGCTCCGTATGCAGCCGGGTGCCCTCTTTCAGGGCCTGGATGGCACGCTCAGCGCCCCAGTCCAACTTCTCCACGCGGCTGTGCTCAAAGGGGCCCCCTGCCCGGACGCACCCGGACGCACCCGGACGCACGGACGCGCGCATCCAGCCTGTGTTGCTGCCCTGCAAGCACAACCAAGCACTACGGAACTGGGCTGTCCTCAAACTTTTGGTGGGCAAAATTCGGAAACCCCACCCAGCCTACCAAGAAGATCTAAAAAGCCAAGGCACCGGATGGCTGGGCGCCACCAAGCGTTTGCCCAACAAAGGGTCTCTGATCTGACCCCTGCCTGCTGAGACAACAGGGTTGACTCAACCCCAAAAAACGATTTTGCCCCAAGCGGAACCACCGCACCGGTCCCTAGCCACATCGCCTGTGCGTGGCCGGAGCTCTGTGGGGCTTGGATCGCCGCCCGGCCCCGGGTTGTCCAGGATGGTAGATGCCACAAACCAGCCGGATCCTCACGCCAAACGGCGAAACGGCGTAGAACAGCGACCGGAAACCCACCGTTTCCACCACCCGTGTTTGTTCCTGAATGAATGTGTGGACGTGGGGCCCAAAAATCAAAAAAACAATTGTGAGAAGGCCGATGCATTGCCTCAAGATCGTCTCCCAGGAGAAACTGGCGTACCATGCAAACAGCTGCACTGCACAGATTCTGTCTCACAGTATAGGGCCCGTGCCAGGGACAAAGGCAGGCTCCCGGTGGTTGTTGGGGTCACAGCGAGAGGTGCTGGAGCGAAAACAGCTCCGGGTCGCCTCAGAAATAGTGGGTGAAGGTTGGCTCTTTGGAGGCTTGGAATTTCAGGGCCGTGGGAAATTCCCACTTGTGATACAACAGAAAGGGCTTCCCAAAGACCAACTCCTCAAAGAAAAGGATTCCCTATCACAGTGGGGATAAACCCCGAGTCATCCCACAACCGAGGGCTATGCCGGCCAAGGGACACCAGCCTTCATCTTCTGCGCCACGGCATACTGCCCTGGACCTAGCGAGCGCAGCTGCTCCAAAGTCTTTGTTTCTTGTGGGTGTCCAAGGCTTTCAAATCTGCCCCAGCCAACAGGCCAAACAAAGGCTTCCAATTTTGAAGACCCCACAAGGGCCCTAAGAAGTTCCAAGAAGGCTCGTCCGCAAAAAAAAAAAAAACACACCAGAGCTGCCCCACGCCTGGCGTGTCGCGCGCGTCGCGGCCCTGAAAAGGCCGCTCGCCCACGCCAAAAGTGCAGGTCCTTGTGGGCAGGCTCCGGGGCTCGTAGGTGCCGGGGCCCACATTCCTCGGTGCATGGGCTTGACGTTTTCGAGAGGTCCGAGTCTTGGATCTTAAACGCAGGGGGAAATCCCACTTGGGGAATTAACCACCCCCAATGCCAAGTCTACCTGGAGATTTGTCAAGAAAAGAAGAAGAAATAACGGGAACCCTGCTCCCGATTGCCAGTTCTTGCGCTCCCGGTGTCAAATGCCACTTTGTGCAAAGGCGCGGGCTGCCGATCACGAAAAACTCCGCGATCGCATCGCGCTCCCGATGAAAGGAGGCAAGCAGCGCCATGGTTTGCACGGCGCGGGACGCGTTGGGATGTTCCAGGCTGCTTGTCCCAAGTGTCGAGAAGCCTTCGCATGGAATGTCTAGCCCCCATGCGTGGGTCAAGTTGGCTTCTGGGCTAACTCTATCAGAACCTCTTCGCCCCTTGCCCAAGGCCCATGGGCTTGGTCCTTCAACCCTGCGATGAACGCAACATCATGCTCCAACCCAAGGGGCGCCCGGCGGCCCATCTGACACGGCGACCAAACGCCCATGTTCTGCGCGCCCATCCGGCAAAGTGGGCCGTTACGGCAACTGTTACGGCCGTTTTGAGTAGCGGCTCCGGGCTCCTGAGCCGCCACATCTCTGACTGCTGACATTGCAGCCCTACACTGCACAATCCTCCGGGGCGTTCGCCTGGATCAGGACCTTGATGGGCTCGCCGCTTGCAAAGTGCTCGAAGGCCTTCTGGGCCTCCTCCAAAGGGAAGCTCTTGGAGATCAGCGGCTGCAAATTGATCTTGCCGCTCGCCACCAGGGCCAGGGCTCCTCGGAAAGCGCAGAATGGCTGCGGTAGTCCTTCTTGTGCTTCACTCAAACCAAGCAAGGGGTACCCTCAAAAGAATATTGAAACCACACCCACAAGGAAGGGTGACCAAAAGAAATAATGTACTGGCCCAATGATTTTGTTGTCAAAGTCACCCTAAGTGGTAGGTTAAAGGGACACCACCAACCAACCAATTTCTGACTTTGAGAACCCCTACAAGCAGAACCAAAACAAAAATGGCCCCTGTGCATGCTAGCTTCACCTCCCGCCAACTAACATGGTTCCTGACAGGGAGGTCCTGGAAGACCATTTTTATTGGGGACCTTTGAACGTCAGGTTTTCCACGTTTTATCTGGCGGGAGGGTCGCGAATTGTTGGAACCTGACAGGATGTTTGGCCATGGGCCAAAATCCCGTACCCCCAGTGAACATCCCCATCCAACCACTAAAATAGGTTCTAACATGGGTGGTGAATTCACCCCCAGACTTGGTTGCTGTTGACCCCCTGCAAAAAGTTTAACTTTTTGGGGGCTTAATGGAAAACACCTTTCTGTCACCCAAAAGTTAAAGTCTAAAGATCCGTTGCCCAACAGCAGTCCGGCAAAATGGGATCCCAAAACAGTGTTGACCGGCCAAAGTCTCTGGGGTAGAGGTTGCAATATCTGTAGACCCCGATGATGTCCACTTCGTGCCTCACCGCCGTCTGCAGGTCCAGCGGGATGCTCTGCGGCAGGTTGGCCACCACGCACACCACGCCCCCTGGGATGGTCACCTGCACCGCCAACGAAAACTTCACGCCCACCGTGCCCCAATTTTTCCTTGACCTCAACCTTGGCCCAGTCCGGCAACGTGAAAGGTTTTGAGGTCTGGGCTGGTCTAATGTACATAGAAGGGAAGTCTTTCTGAAAGGTTGTGATGGGCCCTGCCATCCATCCTCAAGTCTGCTAACACCAAGCTGATCCTTGCAACTTGTGCGAAGACCCACGCCTATAGCTTGGGCAGCCTGCGAAGTTTGACAATCTGCTGGCCTGTCAACCATGACAGTCAGAATGCACGCTGCAAAAATTGAATCGAAACGCCTGGCCCCTGGAATGGGCCTGCCTTCGGGTTTGTAGCAAAGATTGATTCCCAAAAAACTGGGCTACCTTCCCACCGACTAACCTGGAAGTGCACAGACCCCTTGTGGAAAGACTACTTTCCTCTCGGAAAGGGGCTTTGTGCACTTCCATGTTAGTTGGTGGGGTCCTTTTGTAACTTCGTGCACCTCAATGTTAGATGGTGGGAGGGCATTGTCCTTTGGTGGGATCTTTTTGATCAACCCCGAAAAGCGTTCCGACCCTCTCCAAAGAACCGTTTGCCGCCCTCCACCTGGATGCAGCTGTTCAGGGCCGCAGGCACGCCGCAGCACTCGAAGCTCATGTCGAACTGCTCGCCGATCAGCCGCTCCAGCGCTTGGGCCAAGTTCGGCGTGTCTGCTCTCAGTGTGAAGTCGGCACCTCAGGGGAGACCGTGAGACCTCAAAACTGCAACCTGTGCGTCCTCCACTTGAGTCACAATCAAAACCTGGTACAAACATGGTGAACCCAGAACCATGTAGAGAAAAGGCGGCCACAACTATTTCCGACTGGGACTGCCCCTTACTAACCTTCATCTACCGGGTTTTGATTGTGGCTCACTTGAAGATCCACCAGCCCAAAGCATTTTGGAAGGAAGGACCTAGCGACTTAGCGACCTAGGGAAGTATTGAAGGATTGAAGGATTGAAGGCATCCTCGAATGGGACAGGACAAGGACAAAACCGAAACCCTGAGCAACATCGCGTCGTTCCAAACCGAACCGACGGTCCAGAGAGAGAGAGAGAGAGGGACAAAAAAGAAACATAGAGATCGAGAGAGAGCGAGAGAGAGAGAGGGAGAGAGGGAGAGGGAGAGATTCCTGCGGCTTCTCGACACACATCAGTATTCAACCGTTGCTTTGCTCCAAAGCGCCTATCTCTTTGGCCTTCTCCAGTTTTGCATCGACCATGTCCTCAGCAAAGTTGCTAGGCCCACAAAGCGATGACCAAATAAACAGATAGGCCAAGCAAACAGACAAGTAGATGGACAAGCAGATAACTGGGCAAACAAACAAACATGTCAGAGACACACTGAACACACATGCACAAAAACACGGGGCAAATAGCCACCCGCTTGAATAGGGAGCCCCATGTCCTGTTTGCAGGCCGCAGCCTGGAAAGTCCAAATACATCGACATTTGCCAACGCGTCCGTGAGCCCCTGCTTGCGTGGTTTTGCTGCCGAGCGAAGCACAACGAATATCCCGAAAATCGCGAAAAGTTAATGCTCAACCAGACATGCCCCTCTCAAATCCCATGACGAAGAAATCAACATTGTTGCGCAAAAGGCAATCGCCGCCCAAAATGCAAGAACTCAGGACCCAGCATCCCCCAAATCAACCACTGTTCTCAGCGCATGCGATGTTCGATTGCCCGGAAACCCGGCCTTCCGAACATCTACGGTTGGTGACAAGTCAAAAAAAAGAAGAATTAACAAAAAAAACCTTCCCCCCCCCTGGTGCCATGGACACCTCGAGTCTATTTTGCAACCATGAACCCTAAAAAACCAAGACCCTACAAGAACGAGGTTGCCAAGACAGACCCCAAGTGCCCCCCTTCCCCCCCCCCGCTCCCCCTAAAAAAACAAACAAACAACTGAGGCTGAAAACCACACCCAGTGCCCCTTTCCCTCCCCGGGCATCCAAACCAGACGCCCGGAGAAACGCGGGTTTTTCGAGGCCGAGGCGCGGTGACGGTCACCGTGGCCGCGCCCGCGGCCTTCGCGCACATGGCGGTCATGAGGCCAATGGGCCCCGCGCCACTCACGAAGACGTGGTGGCCCGGCCCCACCTGCCGTGGAACCGAGTTCCAAGGGCGCAGAAACCAAAGGCGATCACCCTCTGAGCCTCCGGGCACCAAAATGGGCAAAAGTGATGGGAAACATGGGAGAGAATTGGAAAAACCCGCCTTTTTGGCACCTTCTCTAAGACCAAAAGGGGAAAACCGGAAGGTCAAAAGGTCGATTCACTTGGGGCAACTGAGAGATGTTGGTGGAGCCGAGCGCTCGCGGGCGAGGAAATGGACTTGGGAAATGGAAAGGACTCAATTGCGCAACTGGCCCAGCAAAATCCCAGAACTTTAGATTTATCGCTAAAATGGTCCTCCCCAAAAGTTTTAAAGTCCATGAACTTAGGGAGTGAGAGGAAGGCGAGAACCCCTCCAGGGAATGGACAGGAACAAAAAATGTGCGCCTTTGACGCAAAAGGTGAAGTTCGGAGTTTTATTGAATTGCCTGTGCCCTTTTCTCGCTACCGCAGCATACCGCAGCCCTCTAAAAACGGGCTGCCAACTGGAAAAGACCTAGTTTGGCGGGACTCCCCGTTCAGGAACAGGTCAGTCTTTCAAGAGTCTTTGGTGGTCGCGGGACGCTGCAAGCCGCCAGGAAATGATCCAAATTTCAACGCAGCATCTCCAAAGGAGCTGCAAAGCTGAAATGAACCAGCAAAGGACCGTGCTCTGACCGCGCTGTTGAACATGCTTGAAGGGCTTCGGGGCATTTTCTGCCTGGGCTCAAAGCCTTCCAACGTTGAACCCAGCGATGTAGCAGAATCAAGTTGGGGTACGCGTGCCTTTCATAGAGTTGCCACCGCACCCTTTCAAAGGGAAGCCACAAGCCAACGGGAAATAATGGGAACTAGTGTGTGGTTGTTTTAAAGGAAGCCAATGGGAAACCACAAACCACTCAGTTGGGTTCCGAGCTCAGTTCGAGAACCCAAAAACCCAAATGCGGCCGCCTTGGCGCGCGTGACACCTTGCAGTGAGACGCATAGCGGCTCCAGCCTTGGCGCAAAGGCCAACGGCTCAGGGCCAGGGTGACAGTGCTGGGATTTAAAGGGAACCTACCACTACTGGAAATATGTCCATGTTGTTCCAGCGGACTTATACAAATGTAAGCTATTATATGGGCTCTTGGTATCTTGGGGCCCCTCTTTGTGCTTTTTTGTTTGGGCAAGCAAGGGGGTTGACAAAACCCCAATGGGTTGGATTGTACTTCTTGCTTTTCAGCTGCTATACAAGGCTTTCTTTGCGTGTGGCCTCTCCCAGCTCTGCTTTTGGCATATGGTTTGCAACTGAGAGCCTGGCATTGCCCCCTCTTGAAGGCTTACGTTGGGAGGCAGCTTGTAGCAATAGGAGGCCTTGTGGTTGAACTTGCGGCACAACGCGCCAGGCACCCGATTCACGGCTGAGCCAATGAAGCGCATCTTGGGGCAGAGGTTGTATCTCCCCAAGCGGCAAAGCTTGCAGTCAGAACCTCGCCAAAACAATCAGCACAGCGAGTCCTTCTGCCTTCCAGTTCTTGTGCTTGTGCACGTGTGCGTGTGCGTGCGCGTGTGCGCGTGCGCGTGGGTAAGCGCAAGCGCGTTGAGCGTTTGCGTGTTTGTGTGCTTGTGTTTTGAGGTGCTTGTGTGTTTGCGTGTGTGCGTGTGTCTTGCGGGAACCCTTCTTGGGGTGGTTTCAAGGGGAACCTAAAAGAAAAACCAAAATCCACCCCTATTTTGACTGCGCTGTTCAGAACGGAGTGTTTGGCCAGTCCTAATGCATTCGTTGCGCAATTTTGGACGTTGGCTTCAACAGCCCAGCATATGTTGGTGTTGCTCAGTTGATCTCTTTTGATTCACACCAAAAACGCCTCCTTGTTTCTCCGTTGTTAAAAGAAACACCCAACACACCCACCCAGAACGTCTGGCCTTCGTTTGAACTGTGTTGTCAGTGACGAAAAATCCGGCGTGCTTCAGCCAAAAGGTTGAAGTCCAAAGATCCAGTACCAAAACAACCCACAGCGAGTTCTTGTGAAAAACATCTTCCCAAAACACCCAGCCAGAACGCGCCAGAGCGCTTCTCCCAGGAACAAAGAAGCCAACGGCGCCCTGGCTCCCCTTCGCCCCCCCCCCAAAAAATTTCGATCCGGATCCGGGGAAAACGCACGGCTGGCGCCAAGCAGCAGGGCACGCCCGGCTCTAAGGCCACCCGGTCCCCTACCTCCAGGTTGGTGACCTGTGATCAATCTCAGGCGTCTGTTGCTAAATTTTGATATCCCATGTACCTTTTTAGCATCCATCTAGTGGCAAAAAGTATCAACTCGCTTATTTCATGGTTTTCAACCAGGACCTTTCCCATTTAGTGGTAAATGCCCTCACTTGCCTCAAGCACCCAGAAATGAAAGGTTCACCTTTTGGCACCTTTACTAAATTCGCCTTGGGCAACTGAGTTAGCATCTGTTTAGTGGTTCTCCAAGCCAAGGCAGCTAAGGTCTTTTGATCAAACAAATATTTTCATACATCCCATGGATCTTACAAACTCAAATATGGCTGTGGGTCAAAATCCCGTACCCCCAGTGAACATCCCAAGCCCCACTAAAATAGGTTCTAAAATGGGTGGTGAATGATTCACCCAATCCAACCAAAATGGGATCACGGTTTTGACCACCACAGCCGTATCTTTTTCATTGGCTTTCCCACCAATGGCCACCCCCCAGCATCTCCGAGCTTTTGATTTCACCCCCCCACCTGGGCTCCCTTGGCCCTCACCGTGCCGGAGCACTCGTGGCCCATCTGCCCGCAGTAGCCCTGGCCCAGGCCCTCCTCCGAGAAGTCCTCCGAAGCTCCGGGGCTTCCGAATGTGCATCGCTCACTCGATGGGTTCCTTCCATGGTGGGGTCTTCCGGTTTCTGGAGGTGTGAGAAAAAGAGAAGGATTCGTGTGGGAGAGAATGGGGGAAGGCACCCCTAGAATAGCAATCCCAGAAACACGGCTAAACCTAGTTGCTGTTTTACTTTTCGGTTTGTTTGTTTTTCCCCCCGCGGCTGGAAGCTATGAGTCTCTGCCCAGAACTGGAGGGTTCCATGGGAGTTCCACATGGGTCTGACCCTCCCTTCTTTTTGAGAGAAACCCTGTTTTGATGGTGGTTGAAAGGGGAAAACAAACGGAACGCCAAGCTTTCTGGTGGTCCTTTTTCTCTCCCAACAGCTGGAAGCTATGGAGGTCTCTGCCCAGAAAGGCACTGCGGTGGTTATTGGCCGTTGAGCCATGCAGGAAATGGAGCAACATCGCAAAAAGGGGTCAGCAAAAATGCTTTGGCAAACGAAAGCAGATCCATTTTCGGGTAAATGGGTGTGTCCCGAAATAGGGCACCCAAAATTGTCTTCAGCTTTCCCTATGCCTTCTGTTCAGAACCAACCCAACAGTATCAGTTCCAAAAAAGGGAACCACACCCAATTTCCATCAACAAACATGGCACCTCACAGGAAGGTCCCGATTTTTTCTTCCTGAAGGCACCATTCCTCTGCCTCCATTTGCTTAAAACCCCTGGGAAAAATAAAACTATGTCCGGTAGTGAAATCGAGTCCCTTTAGAACAAACAGGTTGGAAAAAAATGGAAGTCCGGTGGGTTCCAAAGAGGAACATGTCTCGGAAACGCTGTTTGACAAGCTGGGTCTTCTGTTTTGATAAGTTGGTGGGTTCCATGGAAACGATTGCCCGAAAAATCCGAGTCGAAAACCACCCCTGGGTCCAGTGGCACAAAGCCCCCGGCCATGCCCTTGGACCAGTAGGCCATGTCTGAGCCGCAGATCCCCACCTAGGCCGCGGGCTTTTGTTTCCACAAAAAAATAAATAACAATAGTAACAACAGAACTAACAATCATAACAATGATAATAAGGGGGTAAAACGCAAGTCGATTCAAGTCCGAGGCCCCCCCCAAAAAAAAATGGTACCCTCCTAATCTTTTTGGATGGAACCTGACGTTCGGAGTCCGGGTTCGGAAGATGTTCCTTTACAGGGACCGGGTCCCTTCCATGTTGATTGGTGAGAGTGCAACTTCACTAGGTTACTCACCGATTCGGAGGTTAGGGTCGGAGTCAACACCACCATGTATGATTGTGCGTGTCTGCGAACCTTGCAACCCAAAAAAAGAAGGCGCAGAAAGATGCAGAAACGAGCCGCGCAGTTCATCTGCAGCTGCACCTCATCTGCCTTGGGAGCGCCCAGCGGCCGTTTCCTGAGGCGAATGGTGCGCAGGTCCTCCAGCACGGCCACATCCACTACCTGTGGGTGATGTTCACCCCCTATTGATCAACCCCAGTTGATTAGCAAGGGGGTGTTCTTGCGCTTGGTGGGGAATCATCACTTTTGGAGGGGGAACCCTCCCCCCAATAATAAACTGGGGTTTAATAATATGGGGTCAACATTATCCTTTTGGGGTTGGGTTGAAGACCAACCCATCCACTGCCCCGACTGCCGTAGGCTTCACGGGGTTGAATGAATCTTCAAAGGGTACACCCAAAAACCATCTGCTTTCTCAGCCCGGCCTCATCAGGCATGTCGTTGTAACCTGCCATTGCTGAACTCGCCACCGGCCGATCGCTCAAATCCACATCAGGACTTGAGCCAGGATTCAGAGAGGCAGGCTCAAATACCGTATGCAGAAAGCGACGCAAGGCCGTGAAACACTCGACAAGTGTGCCTTGGGGGGCGGGAGGGGTGAAGTCGATTCAGGACGTTTAGAAGAACCGATTCAACGCACAACGCCGCTTGAAACATTGGCAGTCAGACAAGACACATTACATCACAAAGCTGCTGCCTCAAATATCGACTTGCATGACCGTCTCTCACACTAGCTTGTCCTCTGAAACAGAATCGTCACACAACCCTGCACAGACCTTTGCAACCCACTGGCAAAGACTGCCGGGCCTGCAATTGCAGCCGTGATGTGGGAGGAGTGTGAGACGCTCCCTGCAAACAGCATGGGAATAGAATTCTACGTGGCTGCACGTCCCCCATGCCACAACTGAAACTGGCAAATCCAAAGCGTTCAACGTCAATGCAAGTCTGCATTAGATGAGGAATTTCTGGGAGGGCCACTCCAACTCCAACTATTGCCATTGAACTCTGCGTGGGCAGAGTTCGGCTCATTGAGTCCTGCCAGGGTAAGAGCTTAAAACAGCAGGTTTCAATCACTGGGTTCCTTTTGGTTTCCTTTTGGTTTCCTTTTGGTTTCCTTTTGGCTTCCTTTTGGCCTTTTGAACCAACCCCAACGGAGAAGAGACACAGGCGAAGGCGGCAAGCAAAAGGCACCGCAACGGGGGCCATTCTCCTCCCATCGAAGGTGGTGAAGGCAGTGTAGGCGCCTTTCGGGCGGTGAAGGATGCCCGAAAGAATGACGCGACTTGAAGCCCAAAGCCTCTGGGTGGTTCTCTAAACTGATCCCCTTGGCTTGAACACCACCCAAAACATGCAACCCCACGTATCCCCTTGGCTTCGCTTGAAAACCACCCAAAAAGAAAAAAAAACACGAAACCCCCCATGTTGAGAGAGACCCATCCAACCCCAAAGCTTGAACAGACTCCGTGCGTCCTGCCTGGGCCTGGCGTGAACCAGGGATCAAACTTGGGATGGCCTCGGCGCGCTCCAGCGAAACCTCTCTTCCCAGGTCTTCCTTTCGCCCCTTCTCCATCCAAAACGACCCCAGGAAAACGAGAGGAGGTTCGAGGTCCCCCCCCCACCCCCCCCCAGCCCCGCGCGGCTTAAACCAAAGCCCATGGTGGCAGCCCTGCGGCCCAGAGGCGAAAAGAGTTCCTCTTCGGCTTCACCTCTGCCTTGCGTCCGGCGACTTCTCAAGCCGAATTTTTGCGAGCTGAGCCACAAGCAAAACCCGAGATTAAAATGGCCGAGACCCAACATGTGAAGAACTGCGCAAAAACAAAAAAAGGAGGAAGCAAACAATTCTGGCTGGGATTGTCCCTTACTACCCTCCGAATTGCCAGGCTGGTGATTGTGAGTCAACTGAGCCCTTGCTTTTTTGGGGATCCGAACGACCGCTGGTCGTTTACCCTGCCAGCTGTGCACTTTCATGCCCAGCCTGCGAGAGGGACGGCTCCCACACAGCCTTGCCGAAGGAATAGTCAGGCCTGGCCTCCTGCAGCGCAAGATGCCAAACCATGGGTCAAAACCGTTTTGGGATCCCATTTTGGTTGGATTGGGTGAATTCACCACCCGTTTTAGAACCTATTTTAGTGGTTGGAGTGGCATGTTCACTGGGGGTACGATTTGGATTTTGACCCATGGCTAAATCTGTGCGCAAAGGCATTTGCAATGCACTGAGCTACCACCGGCTGACTGAGTGATGCCGGGGCGTGCTGCCAGGCGCAACCTCTTTCTTCGGCAAAAACCCTCTTATTCGGGACTGACCAAGGGGTGACGTCCACTGCTAGGAAAAGCCAAGAAAACAAGCTTGGGCAACCTTCGTAAAAGGATGCATACCATCCCTCTTATCAGATTTCGCAATTGCTCAAGGCATTCAAAAAGAAACACCTCTTGAGGATCAGCGTGAGGCCAAAGAAACACAACTAAGCTTTAACCCGCCTTGCACCGCATCCTTTCCGGAAAACAAAATCGGGGCCTCTCCGGGCCCGTCCACGCGTCCCTCTTTTTGTCCCCCAGGGCTCGCTATATTTCCCCTTAAAACTTCACCCCCACCAAGGGACAGTCACCTTTCATGGGCCAAAAAGGTGATGTTTAAAACCACCAAAAACGGAAATAGAGGGATCCCGTCCTGTGGGGTCTCGCGTCCCGCGCAACGGGCGTCGGGCGTCTCAGGTCCTCCGCGCACTTCTTGGCGTCGAACTCGTTGCCCTCCCCCACGAAGGTCCGCTCCGTGGCGTGGGCGCCGGGCCCCGGCACCCAGATCTTCGACTCGGCGCGCGCGAAGCAGCCGTGCGCCGTGCCCCGAGTCGTGCGCCGTGCCCCGAGTCGGGGTCCGGCGGGGGGGCCAGGGGTTTGTTTGGGTCTCCGTTCCTTAGGTGGTCCTTGCCAAGTTGGGAAACAATCCGCCAAGGAGGACTTGTGACTGGGTCATAACCCAGGTTACTGTGCAAACTGCTTGGTGTCCTTCTGGCCTCGGCAACCTGGGATATAACCCATTCAGAAGTCCCCCCCTGGTGGAATTTAGCGTATTACGAACAACTTACTAACTTGGCCGAACATTTTTTTGTCGCTGGGCTGCTCACAATGGAGAGCTCTCTCTCTCTCTCTCACACTCTCTCTCGCGTGCCATCGGAATCCGTCCCACTGGTGCGGGGGGGATTGGACAATCCGACGTCCATCATCCCTATGAGTAAGCCACTGCAAAGTAAAGCCCTTCAAGGTAAACCTTTGAACAGCGGATTAGGTTTCCTTCACCGATTCCCCACTCACGAGGTCTCGCGCGATGGGACTGTCATCCTCATGGGCAACATGAAGTTGGCGCAAGTTTGGTGCCCCTGCGCAATTTCTTGCAACCGCGTGCGCGCATCAACCTACGCCATTGCCGGTAAAGCAAAGAAAGGTACCCTCCCACCCTTTTTACACGGCACCTGACGTTTCGGGAGGTCCTGGCTTGGCCCGGGACCGGGTCCCGAAGGACAGGTTGCGGCTGAAGGGAGGGGGGGTACCCCCCCCCAAAACGGGGAAGGTGTGGGGAACTCCCCTTCAGCCAAGGCACTCTCATCACAGCGTCCACCCAGGTCCGTCGATCTCCTTTGCCCGTCAGGCCTGAACGAGAAGCCACGTGGGTGTGGGCCAAAACTCAACCGCCAGGATATGGACCACACGTTTTAGGGCATGTTCCTGGGGTTGCCCTATTTTTTGACCCACAGCCTGGATGAGGCCTTCCAGAATTAGCTTGCCGGGCCTCAATTTGGCAAGCTCTAGTGCACGTAGCATTTGATTGGAGCACTGAGCTGTGTAAAGCAGGAAGTCTGCTGCTGTGAAAATGCAACCTGCCAGCTGCTTCTGGGGACAGTACAGTCTCCAGAGAATGGGCCCATATGGGCCGCAGTTTTGAAACCAAAGTGATGCAAGACAATGACGCTGTTCTCACGCAGCTTTTCCAGGCTTGTCACTGCCGTGCGCTCTTCACGAAAGAGTTTGGCCATGCTCGGCCTTGTCCGTTTTCAGATCCCCTGCTAAAAGTTCAACTTTTTGTGGTTTAAATGGAACACCCCACACCCTAAAAGCCTACGGGCATGGCTGGGAACCACTAAGTAAGCACATCCCACCAAATTCGAGCAGCCAAGCGCCTTCTCGGCCAATGGCGTGTCGTGCGCCAGTGCGGGCGACCGGATGGACCGCCCAGCCTAAGCCAACCAAGGCGTAAGGAACCCGCACACCCTTTTGGGCAATGGGAAGACACGACCTGGATACATCACATCTTTTGCCAACCCTCCTTTTCTAGGTCCTTCAGTAGAGAGGTTAGAATAAGGGTAACCTTCTTTTCTGTCGTCTATTTTAGTAGGGGAACCGAATCTCCCAAAAAAAATCGGTGAGAAAGGGCACTGCTAGGGGACCTAGTGGTTTCTTTCTCCCAGCCTGCCATCCCTGCCCTCCCCCAGGCGAGTCCAAAGGTCGCAGAATTTTGGCAGGCTTGGCTCATGACCATGTCCCCCTGAGAGCTTCCACGTTTGGAGTGATTGGAATGAGAAGAAGTCTGGCCAGAAGTCAAAAAATCCAAGTCGTACCCCCAGCGAACATCCCAACCCAAGCACTAAAAGTAGGTTCCAAGAAACGGGTGATGAATTCACCCAATCCAACCAAATGGGATCCTTTTCAAAACGGTTTTGACCACAGCCATCTAAAGACCACAGACCTCCCATCGCATCTTCCAACCCCGCCTTTTGCAAAGGCGTTCGGGTCATTCAGCGGCACGAAGCGCTTCCGCCGCGGCCTCGGCTTCTGGAAATGCGAGCGAGCGCTCGGCTGCTCGGCGCGGCGGGCCCGAAAAAAAATCCGAATGGGGCCGAATGGGGAGAGCCCCCTCCCTCGTTTTGGTTGGTTTTCAGGGGAAAACCCAAATGGAACTCTCGCATTCTAGCATTTTAGGGGGGTGCCGGTTTTCTCCCCAGAGCTGTGGATTTGGTCTCCCAGATAGGCTCGTTCCAGGGGAAGCTTCCAAGGCTTGAGGCTTCCGGGATGCCAGGGCTGGGTCCCGATACCTGGCCTCACCGTGGGCCAAAGATGCATCCGATCAATGCATCTGACGCGAATCCACTTGCCCCGGGAAAGGTGCTGAAAGCTGAGAGCTGCTTAAGCACCACACTGCGTCAGGCTTGATGTAGAATTCGACCGGGCGTTCATGCCTGAGGCTCGGGGCAGGCGAGCCAACAATAAGTGGTCACTCCATTGGCACGCAAGGAAAATCAGTCACCTGAACATTGCCTTGTAAATGATGGTTTCCCTTTATTTTGGTGGAAAAAGCCGTGTTTCAAATGGGCAGAACGTATCTTTTCAGGAGCCCCGCCAAATGATGGTCCATAAGAATGACCAGTGGAGCAAAGGGATTTGCTTTGGAGCTGAATCAAGCTGCATGTTGAATTCCCAAACCTTGCTGAAAGCAACACGGTTCAGGAGGCATATCATTTACCAGCCGCCATTGCCTGCGAAAGCACCAAGACAAACACTTTACAAGCTAAAGGACCGGATGCGGAGCCACCAAGTGTACTATCAACGGCCGCGGCTTATCTTCGTGATCGCCAGCGCCGGAGGGCGAAAGTTTTTAGCCCTTCCGCCGAGCTGCTTTGCTCTTTCCTCCGCTCGGGCGGGCACAGCCGAGCCAAAGGAGCCAAAAGGCGAGCGAGAGACGCGTTGGCCGAATTGGCCAATGGATGGCCGGGAGGCAACGTGGGCGTGTCTTTTTTCGGGGTTCCCTGTTTCAATGGAAACCAAAACGAATACAAACCATTTTGAGGGTTCCCAACACAAGACACACCCAAGTGGCGAGTTTGGGCCTGGCAACGTGAGAAGCCTTTCCAGAACCACGCCCCTCTGTTTGGCGGGGGGGGGGGCAGTTCAAATGGATCGAGAGATCGATGGCTGGACGAATGGATGCATAGACAGACCGTGGCCAGTTCGAACCCTGTCCGGTGAGCCGCTCCCAGGAACGGCAGGCCATTTTCCTGAATGCCAGTCTTTCTGCATCGCGATCGACGTCGACATCGCTCGGAGCGCGCTTCTAAACATTTTGCTCGCCTCATAAGAGGAATGGCATCTCTTGGCCCAGTGGGGGGCCGTTCGAGGCATTAGCCGCGGAAGCTGTCCGCGAAAATTGCAACCTCTCGCCGCTCGGGTGAAACTGGATGAGCTTTGCTCGGCAAAGGGCATCTGTGGGGCGAGTTGCCTAGGGACTCAAACACAGAGCTCAAACTCCCAAAGCTCTCAACGGACTCACAGCTGCCTTGCCTCCAAGCAGAAACATGCCACTATCGAGGTGGCCTGTACTTCGGTGCGAGGCCCAGGCCAGGTGCTCTCGCAGGTTGAATTTAATTTAACGAGGGCAAGGAACATCTTTGACTAGGTCCTCCAGTAGAGAGTTTAGAATAAGGGTACAACTGTTTTTTGTAGTCTATTTTAGTAGGGGAACCCTACCCCAGAAAAGGGTAAAAGGGCACTACTGGGGACTTCGTTGAGTGCAGAATCGGCACCTGAGCTGGGCCCGCTAAGGATCATCCCCTTGCACCTTGTGACGCAAGGCGTCTTAAAGGGAGCCCTTTCTTCAGCATGCTGTTGCTCGATTTCGGAGTACATGTCTTGATCCTCTTCGCTCAAAAGGCTCAAAACTCCAGGACTAAATCCCTCACTTCTTCTCCTTCTCCTCACCGTCCTTCTTTTCCTCGCGGCAGCGCATGACCGCCCCGCCTTGGTGAATGCCATGGTCTACTTTCCATCCGCCAGTATGATGCCGCCCTGCCATACCATGATTCACGCAACCTTGCAGCCTGCAAGACATTCAAGCCTGTCCTGCAAATGATTAGGCGGAACTTCGAAGCATCGCAACCATCCTTTCCCCTGTTGGGCTCTTGCACGACGCGGGGGGATCCGAGAAACTTCCGCCCGCCTCGCTGGACTGCTCCTCGCTGGACGCACCTTGCCTCGGACCAGTGGCGGCGGGGAGTTCAGCTTGGCTTACTCCAGCCGTTCGAATCAAACTCTTTGATTTTGGCGAAGTAACCGTGGCTTCCCTTTTGCCTCCCCTTCAACTTAAAAAATAGCGGTCTGCCTCCACAAAAAGCCGAAGCCACACCCATGTTCCCTTGCAAGCCTTTCTCGCAGTTGGTTCTCTCTCTCTCTCTCCAGTGCTACCCCACATGTCGCATTTGTTTCCTACATGGTGTTTCTTTGGGGGACCCCCTGTTTACCCACAAAAACAGGGACTACCAACTCAAACACGGGTCAAAATCCCGTACATCCCAATAATCCCAATCCCGACTAAAATAGGTCCTAAAACGGGTGGTGCACCTACCCCAAAATGGGATCCCATAGGTTTTGACCTGCAACCACATTCCCACATTCCCAACTTGGGCTTCCGGGCTGGTACATCTGCTGCGTGATCTTCCAGACCTTCTCCTGGAGCTCCTGACGTGCCGAGTCAAGTCGAGCGAGTGCCTGAGGATGGAAGTCTGCGTTTGCCGGTGCAACGGAGCGAATAGCCCCACACCTCATCCCACCCCAGTGCCCCTGAGGATCCTGGAAGCTGAAAGGCCAGCAGCAATCCTACTGCCCCCCCACCAATCAGGATGGAACCTGGCGTTCGGGGGAGGGCGGGGGTCCTTGGAAAACCATGTTCCTTGTAAATGGACCCCCTGTCAGGTTGCCGTGTTGATTGGTGGGATGGCATTATTTCTGCAGCTTCGCGTGGATCCCAACTTGCCATGAAAGTGCTGGGATAAAGGCGATCACCCCAGGCTTTTCCTTGCAAAGGGGAAACCATGTTTCAAGGACTTGCCCGGTAGAGAAGGAGAAATGAACCCGGGGCTCCCCTTAAAGGAAACCACCAGTTGGATGGTTTATGACCAGCAAGCTTAGCTGAGGATCCTGGAAATGCTAGGCGATCACCTTTCGAGGCCACGAAACATGGTTGCCGAAAAAGGGAACCCATCAAACTCCATCAAGCGGTCGCTTCGCTTGGGGCAGGTGAGGAAACAAGTACGGCGGGAACACGTAGCGACCCTTTGCAGCCATGCCCAATCACGTGGCACAAGCTGACACGACACAAAGCACCAGCTCCAAGCAAGAACCTTTCGACGGCCATTTGGGCAGGGCCTTGTGCTTCTGCTTGATCTCATCCAGATCTGCGTCATCCTTGTGGATGGCGGCCCGGAGGTCCTGTTCAGATGGCAAAATGCTTCAGACTTCAGATGTAGTGCATTTTAAAGGGGCGGGACCCCAGTTTTGGCAGACCTCATGTAGGGCAAAAAGTCCACCAACCACCTCTCACAAGTTTCCCACTCCAAATTCTCACTGGGTGGATGGCCCAAAACATATTTACCACTCAAATGGTCCAAACCCAAAAAGTTTTTAAAGTTCATGAACTCAGGAAGTGAGAATTCGGTTTCTGCCTCTCAGCCTCCCAGCCCCTCACGCCACCTCCCAATCCGCTTCTCCTCCATCAGCTTCTTGAGCTCGTCGGCATCTGCTGTGCTCATCCTCAGGTCCACGCCACGTGGAGCGCTTGGCCCGAGGATCCCGAGGATCCCGAGCATCCCTTTGTGATGCTTGCCCCTCCCCCCCCCAAAAGAAAAAAAGCAGACCCCTGCTGCTGACTCATGATCTCCAGTACCGGACACTTGGAGACTTGTTGGCACCTAAAGACATTTGCAGGGCATTTGCTGGGCTGTTCTCCGATGCCCACGTTTAGTGGTTTAATGGAACCCCCCCCCTAAAACCCTAAAGAGCTAAAAACCTAGTGAACCGGCTGGCTGGGAACCACCAAGCGTACCGTTCGTCTTTGAGACGAGAATCTTGTCCTTCTGCTCAGTCAGCTGCTTCTCGGCCTCGGCCGGCTGTGCCCCCCAAAAGTGTCGAAGCAAAAGCTGCACCGAGCGCCTGATAGGCGAGAGTCTCTGCCTCATTCTTTGCCTGCACAGTGTCCTGCAAGCAATGGGCACGCTCCCGGCAGGGGCGGCACCCTGACTGGTTGAACGGCTCATGTGCCATGGTCAAGACTCGTGATGTGGGCAAAGGGTGCAATGGCCATGGTTCCCTCCCATCATTGTCTACACTCCCCACGATCCGCCAAAAACACACTTTCCTCATGGACGACTCAGGCCTTCTTCCTCTGGTCTTGCTCCCTCATCTGTTCTGCCTCCTGCACCATCTTCTCCACCTCACTGCGCGGCACACCGAGAGGCACGCCGAGAGGCACTCGCGCGGCGAGGCGTGGCGGGCGCCCGGCCTCCGCGTCGGACAAACCGCCGCTGGATCGGATGGTGATGGCCTGCCGGGCGCGGTGGAATCGGACGACCCCGAAAATGGGACCCGCAAAGCGGGGGGTGTGTTTGGCTTCCCTCTTGACACCCACCAAAAAGGTTGAACTCCATCAAATGCAATAGAATCAAGTGGAGGGCACGACTTCACAAAAAATGGAGAGGAAAAAAATGGGAAAAAACGAGACTGGACTGGAGCGCAGAAGGGCCCGCCACCCGAGCGCCTGCTTCTTGCCGGTGCCCTTGTCGGAGGCACTGACATTGACAATGCCATTGGCATCGATGTCAAAGGCCACCTGCCGGTGCAACCCAAAACCCAAATGGCTGTGGGTCAAAAATAGGCTCCCATTTTGGCCCAAAACCCAAATAGCTTAGTGGGGCAACAGGGTTCGTTGACTGGAAACCATGTATATAATGTTGCCCATACTAATCAACCCCAGTTTATTTATAAGTGGGGCGTTCCCCTCCAAAATTGACGATTCCCCACGGATCTCAGGGACACCCCCTATTAATAAGCTGGGGTTGATTAATATGGGTCAACATTCACGGTCCAACCCAGCTAAGGCCGAACATCTGCCACAAACCGCCAAAGCTTCAGCGAGAAACCGTAGCAATGCTCCCATCGACGGCCTCGATCTGCGGAACCCCTCTGGGCGCCGGTGGGATGCCAACGAGGTCGAACCTTGCCGTTTCGGCTGATCAGGGCTCGCGACTCTTGAGGCTGGGTGTCTTGGTGTGTCTTAGGGCGTGTGAGGTTGGCTTAAAAGGAAACCCAAAGGAAAGCTCCGCAAAGGGCCGGGCCCTTTCATCTTCGAAATGACCAGGCCAAGACCCTCGCCACTAGGCCACTTCACCCAACTTCTGCCTGAACCTTCCCCCCCCCCCCTCCCCCAGAGCAAAAAAAAAAAGGAGGAAAAAAACGGTGGGACCGCCAACCACACAACTTGGGCCTCCCTCTTCTTCTGGAGTGGGGGGGAGGGGGGCCGAGACGAACTTCTGCAACCGAGCCGGGCGCTGGCCGAGCATCTGGTTGTCCGCCGCCATCTCGCGCTCGCCCTGGAAGACCTTGATACCCACCTGCAGGTTTCGGCGGCAACGCCACCAGGCGCGAACGATGACGTGTCAAAGGTTGCGGCCCTTCTGATTCACCCCCCCAAAGGGAAAAACGGATAATAATAATAATAATAATAATCAAGAAGAACCCCCCCCCCCCTCCAAAAAAAAAGAAGAATAAAAAAAGTCCACCGCAAAAAGGCTGGGAGAAAATAAAGCACACACCGAAAGGTAACCCACAAAATCGTCATGGTGCCGGGAGTCGGGCATCCAATTGAGCGCGACGCAGCAAGTGCAAACCCCTTCAAAGCAGACGTAGAATCGCAGATAAGGCGGGGGCTCTCATGTAAACAATGCGGCAAATGCAAAAGCATGCCTGCCCATCACACAAAAGTTTCTCCATGCAGGTGCCCAAGCTTGATTTGCAAGTTGCAAATCAAACGAGTGCTTGCGCTTTCGAGGATTCTTGCGACCCTGAGACACCATGTGCCTCGAAGTTTCAATCTGCCAAATCCCATGGCCTGCGTCTGATTGTCAGCAGCCGTGGAGAAGACTTGGGACTTCTTGGTCGGGATGGTCCTCGGCCAAAAGCATTTGGCCATGGGTCAAAACCTAAATCGCACCCCCAGTGAACATCCCAATCCCCACCAAAATAGATTAAAATGGGTCGTGCACCTACCCCAAATGGTACCATTGGTTTTGACCCACACCCATTTGTTCCTCTGACGAAAGCGAAGCTTGGCTTCCATTTGCCTAAGCCACCGGGAAAAACAAATATGTGCAGTAGTGATAGGTGCCCAAGCAAGCCAACGGGGAAAACAAACATAATCTTAAACAGATGGAAGTGTCTCGCGCATTCTCGGATTGAGCGCCCTGCGTGTTTCGGTTGATGAGGCGGGTGAAGACACCGCCAAGGGTTTCGATGCCCAAGGACAGGGGGGTGACGTCCTGGGCGGCTCTCTCTAGTTGGTTCGGAATTCGGTGGCTTGGTTCAGGGGTGGCTTCCCCTTTAGCCGTTACAAGAACCAAATCCCCAAAGAAAAAAAAAACCAACCACCAACTAAGGGCCACCTAAGCTCTCGCCTTCTCCGAGCTTGTTCACGAAAAAGCACAAACTCCTACCTTTTACTTGCTGGTGCGATAGGCAGAGGAGACATGGAATGACCCCAAGACAAACCGTCCCACTCTGGTGGTTTCCTTTAAGGGAATGCCTGGGTTCATTCAACCACATCCCCTACCTATCGCACCAAGTGCAGCAGGAAATCTGGATATCTGGGGCCCTTCGCCAATAGAAGCACATCCTTCACATCTCCCTTCAGCACTCCGGCCTGGCAAGCTACAAATGCCATCCACCATATCCGCACAGAACTCCAATCAAATCGGTAGCTCCCAAAGGCTCCCGCGCTGTACAGGCAAATTGTTGGGCACCCTTAGCTCTATTTATATAAATCCATATATATATATATATATGTGTGTATATATACACACTATTTATAGTATATATTTACACCTTGGCCCCTTCCCAACCACAAGTTAGATCTGCGAACAGCCGTGTCCGGCAGTCCAGTCCACTCGAGTCGCGTCGCGTGCCTGGATGGCCGCCCCCATGGCCACGGCCTCGTCGGGGTTCACGGCCTTCGAGGGATCCTTGCCTCGGGCGCCGGATGGCTGTGGTCGAAACCGTTTTGGGATCCCTTGTTGGTTGGATTGGGTGAATTCAGCACCCATGCTAGACCTATTTTAGTGGTTGGATTGGGATGTTCATTGGGGCTACGGCCGCAACTTGGCTATATAGACAAACAACCAACCAAAATTCAACGAGCGGAACCAACAAAAACCAACCTGAGCGCACCTACCCACAAACAAACAAAAAACGTGAACAACACCCACCTGGATCGAACCAGTTGCGATCGCTCGCTTTTTTTACGTCCATCCAAAAACAGGAAAACAGCGACTGAAAAAAGCGACTGCAACTTGGCGATCTAGGCAAACAATCAACCTAAACACCATGAGCAGAACCAAACAACCAACCTGAAAACACCTACAAGAAAAAGACGTGAACAGAACCCATCCAAAGCGTTAGACTCACTTCCGGTCCAGTGGATGGGCCAAAACAAAAATAGCCAACCCTTGTTGTTTTTTTCCACGAAAATAGGCTTCCCAAAAATATATATTGAAGTCCAAGGTCTCGGGGAGTGAGAACCCGTGGATCCCATCTGATTCCAAGCAAACGGACCCAAAAGGACATGACTGAAAGCCTGTGATTTCGACTGGGCAGACTGCGCTTTGCAGGTGGGAAGGCACGATCCAAGGCACCAGCCATAGATCGACCTCACCAATTCGGTGACCTGCAGGTAAAGAAAAAAGCGCTCCCTTGCCCAACCGGACGCGCAAGCTGAAGCGGAGGGTCGTGAATGGCAGCCAAAGCTGGGAAACCAAACAAACACTAAACAGATCTAAAAAACCTAAGTTGAACCAGGATGCCTGAGTCCGGGAACCACCAAGCCTTTTGTCATGCCGTCCAGCCTTGGGCATTCGGGTCATGCCACCCACCAGCAGCACTTCGTTGATCCTGGACCGCTGAAACGCCAGGCGTTTCGGCGCAGTCGGCCGAGCGATCGTTTCAGCCCCGCACTCATCAGGCTTCACGCCGGCATCCTGCCCAGGGGCTCGTGCAGCGGTTCGAAAGTAAGCAAGAAACTGAGACACAGTCAGTATTCAAGAGTATGGGGGGACACCCCTTTTAACAAGAACCCGAACAATTGGACACAGTAGTAACAATAGTATTTGCAAAAAAAAAGAAGAAAACAATCGCAATGGCAATGAGATGATGATCACAAGGATAATTCTGATACAGACCGACGCCACTTTGGCCTGTCAAACGTGTGTCCTGCTCTGTTCACTCGGGTGGCAAGCAAAGCTCCCAGGCCTTGTTGCATGCGAGGCATGGGGCCTTCGTTCGGCTCAACAAGGGGTCCACAAGCTGCTCCAGCTTCGACCTCGGATCCAGGAAAGACCTCCTCACCGATGTGAACTGCCCCCCCCCCAAAAAAAAAAAAAAAAAAAAGCGGCAACCGCACTTTCTGCGCCAGCCACTAGAATGGCAACCAAACCCCAAAAGTGACCGAAGTCCATGAACTTGGGAAGTGAGCCGTACACACTACAGTTGGATGGGAAAAAATCGGCTCCCCTTGAATGTTGACCCCATATAAATCAACCCCAGTTTATTCATAGGGGGAGTGTTCCCCTCCAAAAGCGATCTGACTCCCCAACCTCAACCCAGGGACACCCCCCTATTGTTAAACTGGGGGGATGGAGTTCATCTAATCTAGGTTTTCGGGATCCCTACTTTGAGACACGCCCAATTGAAACGAAGATCCCCGGCTTGAAATTCATACGGGGTCAACAATTCCCGCAGAGGCTTCAGGGGACTGCCATCTCACAGCGGCGGCTTCGGCTGGCGGCTTCAGGCCCCCGCCGAGTGAGCTGGATGTTCAGGTGCTTCGGACCTGTCTGGTCCGCCGTGATGAAGGGCAAGTTCACGTCGGTCCTGGGCCAAGCTCGACCCGATTTGAAGGTTGTTGGTTGAATTTGCGGCTTCCCTCATTTGGTTTGAGGCCGAATTGGTGGTTTAGTGGTTTAGGAGAGTGAAACCTGATCTACACTCTACAAGAACCAGGGACCCGTTCAAATCCAAATCCAAACCACCAATTCAGGGATACCTGATGAATGGCTGTGCAAACCTGAGTCGTGCATGGCACCTGCGTTCAAATTCCCCGAACTGGCGGTGTTCGCTTTCGTCCGCTTCTAAAAAACCGAGAACCCCCCAAAGCAAAAACTACCTACATGGTCGCTTGCTAGAGGTGCAAAAAACAAGCCGCTGTCAGCTGGGGCCCTTGCTGAACTTTGCTGGACAACTCGATCTTTGCCTTGGCACTAGCTGAGCGGTGACCGTGCACAACCCCACCATTCAATCAACCCAACAGTTGGCAAGACTCATAAATCAACATCTGCTATTTACATTGTCTACCACAATATAGTAAAGAATCAAGACCTGCAACCAAATGGACCAACACCAAAACACCTGGCGGAAAGGCCCAGCGGCCCCACATTTCGATGCTTTACCTGACCAAGAAACACGGCGCACCTCCCCCCTTTACAATCCCAAGGGCACGCCTGTCGAAAGGGGAGCCACAAGAAATTGTGGCTTTCCTCAGCCTAACTAAGAGGTACCTCCTGTTCCTTCCGGCGTCCCTTTTTGTCCAACTTGAAGGAGCAGAGGGGAAAAAAAAAGGAAATACTGAGCTGTTGGGATCAGAACCGAAGACCAACCAGCCTAAAGAGGTGTCCTCATTTTTTTCCTCTCAGCCAACCTAACAACGGGTATCTTTAAACCAACCTAAAGGGGTGTCCTTTAAAAAAAGGAGAACCAAAAAAAACACAAAGGAAAAAAAAGAGGGAAAAACAAAAGAGGACAAAAAAGGAGAACAAAAACACGCCCCTCGGATCAAAGCAGACCTCCTGGGGACCCCGCGGTCTCCGCCGCTTCCCGCAGCCGCTGCAGGGCCTCGGCCAAAACGTCGCCGAAGCGACGAGGACACTCCACCGGAGATGGGTCGGTCCGTTTTGAGGGTACCCCTTTGTGGCCTCTTAAAGGGAAACCAAAAAATAAAGTGTTGAGGGTACCCAGATAGCCAAGCTGCTGCTTTTTTCAGGCACGGTTGCTGGTTTTTGGATGGTAGAGTGGCTGGAAAAAAGCAGCAACTGGCGATACAGGTACCCCTTTGTGGGCTTTTGAAGGGAAACCAGCGGAACAAAAAAAGAACAAAAAAATCTTGAAAAGGCCACAAAAACCCAACACACAGAAGCTCGCCCATGATACTTGCTGGGTATGTGGCATCAAAACCCGGAGCTACCAGCCAGAAATACAAGTTGGATCCTTCACGGGTGAGTCCCATTCACAGGGGAGTGGTCCAAGAGTGGGGGCGTCCTAAGGCTTCCTGCAGAACTTTCAGGGTTCTTAAGCCATGGTTGAAACCAGAACGTTTGCTGAGGTACTTACAGGGGAATCGAATCATTCCAGGGTTTCCAAGGTGGTGCGGAGTGGACTTCGTCCATCCACAGTATTTGCTGGGTAGTTAGCTTACTTTGCGCATCGTTTCCTGAAGCTCTGTGATTGAAAGTTTAGGCAAGAAAACTCGGTACGCACAACATTCCTTGGCTCTCCGTTTTCAAATCCCCTGCTGGTTTAACGATTCGTGGGTTGCATGGTGCTCTACCACTAAACCAGCTCAAAGCCAAGCCCAAGGAGCCCCAAGGCTGGGAGAGGCAAGATGAGTTCGGGCGGGAGAATTACTTCAGGTAGTTTCAGTGTCCAGGTTCGGTCGAACATCCAAGTGGCCTCGAACGCTTCGCTTCCTTCGCGCGCTCGTCCGCGCCCCATTCGCCCGCATTTTTCAACCGGAAGTGGGCCATTCTGCGGCCGCAAGGGCGCCTTTCGGCCCCTCCCTTCGCCAGCTGCTCGTGTGTGCCTTGCTCCACGGGAAAACCTCCCAGAGCCCGGGCGAAAACAACCAACGGGCACCCGTTCCCTCAATTTTTCCTTGAAAAAGGGATGTTTCTCCAACATTCCCCCCTTGTTCTGTGGGTAGTTGACGGTCGAGGCACCTGTTGAAAGGGAAACGCCCAAAATAGAGGAAACTAGGCTCACTGACCAAGAAGTGAGGTTATATCGGTCATGGGTTTCGACCTGCTGAGGCTGCAGCCAGCTTGTCCTTGGACAAATCCTGAGCGATGTTTTCGGGTTGCTGGACACCACGTTTTAACTGACAGGCACCATGCAAGTAAGCAAGCCAGCTGTTTTAGGCCCTTCCTGGCGTCCAGAAAGCGAGGCGCTGTCTAACTTTCAGAGTGAAACGTGGCCCATGAGTTATGGGTCAAGCGGTTCTTCGCGGATTGCAGGCCAGGCGTAGGGCCAAAACTATGAGCTGCGTAACGCAGGCGCTCGGCACGGGCAAGTCAGCCACTGCATCATCGCCGAATGCTGTACCTTTGCCGCTTCAAGACTGCAGCATGCAACAAGGCGACATCACCGCCTTTGGCACGGACAGCCTCTGCCAGCCAGAGGGGGCAAGCAAACATCTGCTTGACATTGCTTGGTTTTTCTTTCTGCCGCCTTCTTGTGCCCCCTTTGTGTCAAAGCCCCTTTGGCCGGCGGTCAAAAGCCCCGACTTTGGCTCCGAGGAGCTGGTAGTAAGGACCCTTCAGCTGCCCCCCGTGCTGTCGGAGAAGCTGCTCGATCTCCTTCAAGGCCCGGGCAAAACCCAATCCCCCACCCTTTCATGGGCCAACAATTTGATGTAAACCATCCCCACCAACAGATACTCACCTTCCATGGGCCAAAAAGGTGATGCATACCAGCACCAAAACGGGTACCTCTGACCCCTGTCCAGCGGAACCCTGAGGCGAAGTCCATTGGCTCACCCCGCGCCTTGGCTCCGAAATAGCCTCGGAGTGGCGCCAAGAACCGACGCCTCGATTCCCTCAATGAACCAAAACAGTGAGCAGACTGGCCTCATTCTTCTACCATGATCAAAGTCATCCCCAAAGTGATGGGTTAAAGGGAAACAACCGATTCCATTTTCTGACTTTGCAAAACAATCAAAATAATAACCCCAGGCAGAGTGAGCAGGCAATGTTGCCAGGCAACGCGCATGCGCCAAGGGGGAGTCGCCCTCGCTGTCTCCAGCATTGATGTCAGCCTTGGCCAAAGGACTCAAGAATCAAAGGAAAAAGGTAAAAGTTGAAGGTTGTGGTCTCTTTATGGGCACGCCTGAGCAGGTTGCGGAATCTGATTCGCATGCGCATGCTCCGAACGCATGCGCGGTTCATCCAATATCGTTGTTCACATGCTTGGGCGTAAACAAGCAAAATCCCAAAACTGCACAAAACATGGCAATCCGAGCAAAGAACAACCTCGAAGTACCTGCCGTGCTCGGCATATTCGGGCACTCTTGCCTGGGCTGCCTATTTTCAGATCTGCGAAAAACAGTTGAACTTCTAGTGGGCTAAATTGGTGAAAGTGAGAACAACTAAGAACCTAATAAAAGCCAACTAATAAGAAACCAACAAAAAACCTACTCTAAACCAACTAAACACTAAAACCCTAAGGAACTGCAGGGCTGGGAACCGCCCAGTTGAGGTTTTCCGGGCGCGTTGCTCTCGTGGCGAGGGGCGCGCATACGCAGCAGCAAGGCCACCACAGCAGCAGCACCGGGTTGGCCATGCTGAGCACAGCAGGCGTGGAGCGGCGTACCACCTGCGCATCTGAAAACACAACCCTTGGTATGGTAGGTTTTAAAACAAATGCAGCCCCCTACTAAACATGAACAGAACCAAAAAAGGAAGCTGCAGAACGTGCCAACAAGTGAAGTGAAAACACGATGGCTTTTGATGGCACGTGTCATCCTATGTAAAGGACCTTTCGATCAACACCCATTTGGGTGCGTCGGTTTTATTTTTTTGCAGGTACGTTGGGTTAAAAGGGACACCAAATGGAAAATAGCCCAAATGGGCATGTGTCTCAACACGCGGGGAACCAACCATGGTTTTCAGTGTTCCCGTGGGTTTTCCTGTAACCCAGACCCCAATTTGGCACCCTCAAGCACACACAGACAGACACAGACACAGACACAGACACACGCGCACACACACACACACAGAGACACAGACGCCAAAAGACGCACGCACACAGACACAGACACAGACACACAAAAACACAGGATATAGAGGGAGAGAGAGAGAGAGAGAGAGTGTGAGAGAGAGAGAGAGAAACACAAACACGCACACCCACAAACACACACACACACACACAAACAACCTAACAAACAAACAAACAAACAAACAAACAAACATGCTTGGTTTCCCAAATCAACCAAAAGGCCCCACCTTCCAAAAAGACGGCCCCATGTGTTTCCCAACATTCCTCTTGATTTCCTACTTTGACAAACTACTACCTTTATGACCCTCAGAGAGCTGCAATCACTGAAAATCAGCAAAAATATAAACATACAGACGCGGAAACAAACAAAAAACAACACCAAAAAAAAAACAATAAACAAACAACTGCAGCCAGAAACACTTCAGGGGCAGACCAGGTATCCAAAATGTGCAAAAACACGAGGAAAAAAACAAAAAAGAACAAACACAGAACAACGAAAAAACCAAAAATGCAGCCCGGGACACTTCAGGGGCAGACCAGGCATCCAAAATGTGCAAAAACACGAGGAAAAAAACAAAAAAGAACAAAACAAAAAACAACAAACAAAGAACCAAAAAAAAACATGCAGCCCGGGACACTTCAGGGGCAGACTAGGCATCCAAAATGTGCAAAAACACAAAAAAAAATGCAGCCCGGGACACTTCAGGGGCAGACCAAGCATGCAAAATGTGTAAAAACACGAGGAAAAAAACAAAAAAAAAGAACAAAACAAAAAACAAAATGCAGCCCGGGACACTTCAGGGGCAGACCAGGCATCCAAAATGTGCAAAAACACGAGGAACAAAACAAAAAAAGAACAACAAAGAACAAAATGCCGCCCGGGACACTTCAGGGGCAGACCAGGCATCCCTGTTTCCCTCTTTCTGTGCATGCGTGTTGTTTGTTTTCTGTTTTTTGTCTGTTTGTTTTCTGTTCTTTTTGTTTTGCTTTGTTTGTTTTGTTTTGTTTTTCAGTGTGTATTTTTGGTTTGTTTTGTTTTTGCTTTTTGTTTGTTTTTTGTATCTTTTTTGTACTTCCCAGTTGTTGCCTCAGTGAAAGTCTTAATACTACCTAAATTCAACCATGCCAACTGTTTGCAGTGATGGACTCTATGCTTAATTCCAGCCTGAAGTGTCCATGACGCCATCCCCGCGGCGCAGCCAGGTGTTCACATCCTCGTGGCAAGTCCCATGAGGAAAAGCCGCAGACCCCCAAAATCGTAACTTTCCCTTTGGCTTCCCTCTAAGCCAGGCCCAGAAAGGGCGGTCTCATACGGTCTCAAAACAAGCAAACGGACCCAAGCGTCACGAAGCACCCCCAAAGCACCCCCCAGTCCGCACCACGCGCCAAGCACTTCACGGCACCAGAGAGGCTCTTGGCAGCGAACGCCTTCCGGAGGCTCGCGAAGTCCTGAGAAGGCGCGGCGAACATGCACCCGCTGGAAGCGTGATGGCAGTCTGCCAGTCGGGGGCAGACTAACGCGCCCAAGAGCTTTCGAAAACGCAAGCTTCGAGCTTTGGAGCCGCCCCGTGTTGCCAATGCATCCCGGCCTCATCATCGGACTCGCTGGCCCCTGCCCGGAAAGCTTCTGCACGAAAGCAACGGAGCCCGGTGGCAATTTTCAAGCCGCTTCACGATTGATTGTTTCAATGGTTCTTCCACCAGCTCCTGGAACATACCCCTTAAGCACAAAAATCAAGGAATTTGGAATAACTAAGCCCTAAATATGGCTCAACTGTCCCACAAAACTCCTGGTAGCTTCTTAGTTCCCTCTTCAAATGCAAGTTTGGGCACCCCCATCTCCTTGGCCCCCTTCCAACAACAAGTTAGCCCCATGGTGGTGTCTCGTGTGTTGATCCCCATTTTTGTGGTTGGCGTTCTCGGCAACCGTGGCCCATAGATCATGTTGGGCATCCGCTTGGGGGGCTGAGAAATCCTGGGGGCCAAACCAAAACGGCTTGGAATGTGGCGCATCAACTTTCACCCAACTGGCAAAATACTTGGTGCGGTTTCTTCCGAGAAAAGAGGAAAAAAAGGAGAAGAAAAAGGACACCAACGCTCCTTGCACGGGCCATCCACGCTCCGAGGAGAAAAAGCAACTCCCCAATCGACCCGATCGACCAATCCATCCTCCGGCGATCGATCCGCCTGCGTCTCTGAGCAGCCCTTCCGCCTTGGAATCCTTCGCCGCACGCGCCACAAAGAAGGGCGCGGGGGTGTGGCCCTGAAGCGTCCGACAGACACGCGTGACCAAATTGGGGGGGAGGGGGGGACGAGCACGGGAGGGGGGGGGAACGAGCACAGGGGGAAGGGGGGGGGGGGCAACGAGCACGAAGATGCTTTCCGCTAGCATAGCAAATTGGGGTGTGTACCTTTTCTATAGGGGCTATATGGGGCCATGTGTACCATTAACCCGACTACTTTTTGCCCACGACTCTATGTGTGGTGAGAAAAAGGGATACCAAGTTAAGAGGCATAATCGCGCCATCTCCTTTTACCCCGTGTAGCCAGGCAAGCGGGACGGACAAGCTTCAGCCGGTATCAAGATTTCAAGCTTGTAAGAACCATTGTGAATGGGAACCTCTCCGCTTGTGCAAAGCCGTGTAACGCAATGCGTGAGCTGCCCTACAACAGGGTTCCCCATACTCCCCCTCAAAACATCACTTTCCTACGGGAAACTCACCTTAAATGGGCCAAAAAGGTCATGTTTAAAGCCAAAAAGGCTTGATGTGTGGACCCCACAACCGAGCCCTGTGCCAGTGAGCCTTGCATCGTGCCCGGGCTCCATCAGCAAGGGCGGCCTCCATGCCAGCATGGTCACCTGGCTTTCTCACTGGGCTGTCTGCTCTCAGATACCAGCGACGGGCTTTCAGTGGGCTAAATTCGGACATCCAAGCACTCAACACGAAACAGCTAGAAGCCTAAGGGAATGGCGGGAAACCACCAAGTATGGTAGAACCCTCATGGATGATATGATTCAACCCCTTTGCTGCGAAAAGTTCCCCCCCCCCCCCTCCCCCGGTCAATTCTTGGTTTTTTGGTGCATCTTGAAACTTCAAGCAAAACAGGGGGGGCTGCTTGTGGACACCAAATGGACCTCACGTCCCTGGTTCGTCGCCCGCCGCTCTGAACCCAGCCGTTCCGGCCATTCTGGCGCCAAGATCCCCTCCTGGGGTCCCTGCCTGCGGCAGTCGCGTAGAGCAACCTGCAAAGGTCTGGCGACACAAGAGGCCTGCCCCCCCCCCCACAGCTCCGGCCTGCCATCAACCTTTGCCTGCTCTTCTTCTGGCAGAGCTCCACCTAGGTCGGCATGGCCCTTTTTTTTTTTTCTCCCTCAAGGAGGGAATGACGAAGAGGCGAACCATCCCTGGTGGGCTTCCGTACATGGGGGACAACCGTTCATTTCAGCCATACAAAAAGGACCCTTGGGGTTCCCCACTAAGCATAATGCTCCTCACTGCAGAGCCAAGCCACCAACGCACGTCAGCTCCTTGGATTGGTCACAGGTGTTCAAGCGCCTTTTGCTGCATGTGGGTCTCTGTCCCTCTTTTTGTTGTTGTTGGTTTTAAAGGGAAGCCCAAAGGAAAACAAAGAAGCCGTTTTCGGGCCCCCCCCCCGCCGTAAAAAAAAAAATGACAGCCCCTTTGCAGAAGCTTAGCCTCTGGGGCGTCTCCGCTTCCCAAGCTCGACCGAGCCTCAATGAAAAGGCCGCGGAACCGGATCCGATTCGACTCAACTGGGCGAGCCTTTGGCGAGGCAAAAATTCGGTCCAACGAAACACGAAAAGCTCGAAAAACCCTAGCTGCACCGGATGGCTGGGAGCCACCAAGATGTGAAACGTCTCAAAATGAGTGCCTCTTAAAATTGAGACCTCCAAGCTTTGGTGCCCAAATTCCTGTTCAACCATCCAAAAGAGGGTAGACCCAAAGCGGTTCCCTTTCAACTAGGTCCTCCAGTAGAGAGGTTAGAATAAGGGTACCAACTTTTTTCTGTAGTCTATTTTAGTCGGAGAACCCTCCCCCCAAAAAAGGGGAGAGAAGGGCACCTAGCTGGGGGGCCTAGCAAAACTTGGTTGAGGTTGCAAAAAATCATGTTTTAGCAGTTAAGTGGATTTCAACCACTAAACCACAACAAGCAAAATGTAACTCATGAAAACTCCCCAACAATAATCAACAATAATTATGAAAACAATAATCATGAGAACAATAATAATCATGAACATGTAAAACCCAACAACAACCATGAAAACTCCCCCCCAAGGCACACCCAAGCTGCCGCCACCCCCGCCCGAGCGTCCACCTGGCCGCCCTCCGGCAGCTCCAGCGCCGCTCCCAGCGGCTGAACCCCAGCGCTCGCCACCACGTCCTCGCGCCCCGGGCGGAGCTCGCCGAACGTGGGCCCGGCGCTTTGGAACGACGACTTTCTTGAAAAGAACCCTTTCACCAGCCCATGGTACCGAACATGGTGCAGATCCGCCGCTTTGGGGCTTCGTGCACCAGCCCATGTTGGTGGGAGGGTAAGCTTTGGACCATTTCGGTGGCAAGCAACGAAAGATCGGTGCGTCACTTTGGTGGTAAATCATGTTCCTGGCCTCCCGTTGATCTCCAAAAGCCAGAGGTTCAAGTCCCCAAACCACCAATCCAAACCACCGACTCAGAGTTACCTGAACTGATGGACTGAAACCGGTCACCATTTTCACCTTGGTTGAAAGGGCACGAAAAGTCATGGCCAAGCGACATCACCGCGGATGAAACTCCTTGGCTGGAACGGGAGTTGACGGTCTCGACCGGCTGCCGGGAGCAATGCCCGACTTGGGACAGGCTGTGTGTGTGCGTGTGTGTGTGTGCGTTTTTTGTGAGGGGCCCCCTTTTTTGGGCGGTTCTAGGAGGACAACACTTGAGGGGTGAACGAAAGCTAGCAGCTGCAGCAACAAAGCTGGCGCACTCTTTTTGCACTCTGTAATGGGTGCAAATTCGACCTGCTGGCTGGGGTGGCCCACTGGGGACTCGAGCCCCTGGGGGTCTAAATGATTGTTTCTTGCGATCTTTTGGCCCAAGCAACTCATAAAATCCATCTTTCGGCAATTCAGGCGTTGAAGCTAGCCTGCGTGAAAAGGAACACATCACCACTTCTGGGGCTCCTTTGATTTTTTAGCGGCTGGAAGCGTTTTCGGGCGCTCGATTCGAGGCCAAAGGGCTGCATCAGCAGCGGTATACGCCACTGCTGGCGCACCGCCTCCCGTAGCTCTTGCACCCGCGCGCTCGAGGGCAGCGTCAGCTGCAGCCTCGGGACCCCCACCGCATCCCCAACTCCGTCCAATCGTTGTCTGGGAAACTCCGGCGATGCTTGTTTTAGGTGCCTCGTTTGAGGGTACCCCTTGTCAGATTCTACGGGAAAAACCCGAAATCATGCTTGGAGGCTCCAAATCGATCCGCATGTTGTCCATTCAAGCGTGAGCTCGGCAAGAGAGATCTTTGGTCCGAGGTGCTCCTGCCCGGCCAAGCCTCGCAATAGGATGTGCACCTCACCGGATAGGTGGACACCTGGGCATGGGTCAAGAATAAAGGTTGCCCCAAAATGGACCCCTCGAAAATGGAAACAAGGACGAAAGCCTGCGGTCCAACTCCTGGTGGTTTAATTTTGACCCATAACCACCTCGGACTAAAAGCTGTGAATGCTGAAGCAAGGGTAGTATTCAAAGCCGGCAGCAGGCGCTGCATCGATCCACGCTGGCGTCATGCGCAAAAAACCGCCGAGCTCAAGGCTGGAGTCCTCCTGCAGGCTGCGAGGTTTTGCAATATTCAGGGTCCACTGCAAGATTCTAGTTTCTTTGTTTTTGGTATTACACCCTGGGAATTCACCTGGGTATTGACCCCATTTAGGCACATTTCCGGATAAAACCGGGTTGTTTTGAACCATTCTGGGTCATTTCCCAAGGGTGCAATCCCAGGGTGTAATACAAAAACCCTCAGAGAGATGGTGCGTGTGAGAAGCGATAAGCTGCTGCAGGGCCAAGAAAGAAAAGGGCGTCTGCCCCACAACAAAGACGTTTGCTCTGCATCACGTCCCGCCCTGCGCAAGGTTCTTCCAGGCAAAGAGGGCTAAACCAGGCTGGGAAGCTGAAGATCTCAAGCCCGCGTTTTGACCGCCATTGGTTCATCCCAAATGGTGGGAGCCCAGACCTGCAGCAGCTGCCCCTCGCGGCTTCCGCGGCATCCGCGGCGCAGGCGCGTCACACAGCCGCCCATTGGACGACGAGGTTTGTGGCTGAAGCCTTCGGTTCCTTGAGGTATGCTGCCCGAGAAACGGCGTGCTCTTCCGAATTTCATCCCACTCTCGCAAAGTTCAAAGGGCCTCTGAGAGGTGTCTAGAGGCCCTGGCACAGCTCATTCCTTTGCTATTGGCTCGGGCAAAGGGGCTTGAGATAAGCTGCAAGAATCTTGCGCCTTGCACCCGGAATGAACATGCCCAAACCCGTGCCCCCGAATCGCAGCTTGGCCTGCTCGCATGTCGAAGCTTGGGGCCCTGACAATGCCCTGGGACTTCTTGAACTCCTGAACGCTTTCCCCTTGTGGCCGTGTAGAGCTTCTGGTGGCCCGTGTTATCGGGGGTGAACAATTGGCTGCTTCCCCAAAAATATGTTCTATTGCTCCTCGACCAGGTGCTGCAGAATCGCATGGTCGAAGTCTTCTCCGCCCAGTGAGGTGTCACCGTTCGTCGCTTTCACCTGCAATCAACGAAAGATCTACATGGTTGTGGGTCAAAATGAAACCACCAGGCAACCGCAGGTTTTAGTCCATGTTCCATTTGCCAAGGTTCCATTTTTGGGTACATGCGAAAAGGTCTTTCGAGCATAGGCAAAAAGGTGGTCAAATCAAAGGCGCTACGCTTGTGAAGGTTCGGGTGGCCAGTGTTCGATCGTTTTCAAATGTCCTCAGAGCAGGCAAGTTGAATTGGACAAAAACCTACCGCTCAACACTAACTGACGCCACAAACATCTGCGCGGCGTCGCTTTGGTCGCAACTTTTTCCACAGCATTGCCACAGCTCCAATCTAAAGGTCCTGGGGCAACGTCGCAGCACAAGTAAAAGCAACGCAAACAGCAGGGGCCGCTGGATTTCCCCTTGAAAAGTTGATCGATTCACTGGTTTTCGTTCAGATGGCCCATTTTTGGTTCCAAGCTCCGGCTCACCCCGTGGCTCAGCTACGCGATAGGTGAAATTTGAAAGATTCGGTGGGAGTTGAGATCGCAACTGTCCGGCCTCGTAGGGCACTTACCCCAAGCCCGGCGAAATGCTATCCCGACAGGCAAAGCCGAGTGGGAGGTGTGCAACCCCAAAGGCAACCGCCAAAGACACGCCAAAAGACATTCCGAGCGCATATGTCGCGTCTTGAAATCCCAAAGGCAAACCCAAAAAAGACATCTTCAAAGATATCCCTCACCTTAACCTTAATTGAAGGTTGGAATTGGTGGTTTGGATTTTGGCTGGGAAACCACTCCCCAACCACCAAACCAATCCAAACCAGCCATTCAGGCTTAGCTGAATCCCATCCACGAAAACAGCAAAAGCCCCGAAGACATTTTCTTCAGGCACACCCTTCAACAACATCCTCCAAATGCAAGACCCAAGGGCATGCCTGCGAGATCACCAAAGATCACGCCCAAATCGCAAAAAACCTGGGTTGGGGGGTGCTTGCTAGCTTGCCTGCCTGCTTGCTTGCGCTGGCTGGGTGGTGGTACGGAAAACCCAATCCAGCCAATCCTTGTTCCCCATGCTCATAGCACGTGGCTGAAAGCAACAAAGAATGCAGCAGCAAGGCAATGCCATTGTTGCTTGATTTTCTTTCATTACCCTCCCACACGTTTAACATGGAACCTGACAAAGTCAATTGGTGAGAGGGTAATGTCTTTTTCGGTCCTCATCGGTAAGAGGCTCTCCATCCAGCTCGGCATCGGGTTCGGGGCTTTTGCTCGCCTGCCAGAGGGGAAGAAAAGGGAACGCACGGGCCACGAATCCCAGCTTGTCACACATGGGAAACCAGATGCATATGCAGCTCCTTAAACTTGAAAGCCCCACGCATATCATGGGCATAGGTGGCCTTCTGGAAAAAAGTAGATGGGTTTCCCCGGCAAATGGTCGTTCAAGCCAGTGGACCTCAACCCATCAAAAGGACACCACTGGTCATGGGCTTCCGGACTAAACTTGTCGCGCTGACACTCCGCCCGCCTGTAGACGTGCTGTCCTGGGCCGGCGTGGGCCCAGTTTGCATTTGCGCTTTTAGTTCAGTTCGCCTGTACCTAAAAAAATGTTTTATGTTTGTTTTTTCTTTTTTCTAAAAAAAAAGTCTCAGGGACTCTTGGGCTGGCCCGGGTACCTAGGCTAGGTCGTTTTCTATGCCTTTTCGGGTACTCTCTGTTTCCCGTTTGTTGGTTCGGTCTTTTTGTACTCTGTTCTTCCATTCTACGGGG